AATGAACTCCAATGCAGTGCAGTGCATTCCTCAGTTCCTGTGCTTAAGGGATGGAGAAGTCATTCTTTCTAAAAGAAAAATGGATTCCCAACTGACATGAATATGCAGACCAAGCACTTATTATAAGGTTGTTAGTTTTGTCTGATAAGTAATTAAAACAACCCACTAATCTTTAATTATTTCAGAATAATGCTCTGTTTAGTGTTCTATTTTAAATCCATACTTTTAGGTGGGGCAAGAGACTACAATTTTTTTCACGTGAAAGGAGAATGAAAGACAACATTTGTGTGTTTAAGTTGTTTTCATTACCTTATTTTTCATTCTTGCTTTTGGTAAAACAAATAAAAAATCAGGCCAAAAACCTACTCGCTTTTGACTCCACTCAATCCAAGGAACTGATTTCACGTTGAATCCTGCTGACACTGCCCAAAAATTTTTCATTTAAGACACTGGGAGAGTTGTGGGCACAAAGCAGGGCAGCCACATCCTACCGCGTCCCTTCACTCACTCTAAGCTTTGAGAAGCAGATGTATTTTTAAACAAACTGAGTCTAGACATGTCCTTCTCAATTCCTAAACTTGACACATGTGACAAGCCTTAGCCACAAGAGAGATGCCCAGTGCAAGAATTGTGCTTAACACACAATAGCCCACTGCAGCCATTGGAAATAGCTGTGCTTGCAATGGTTGTATCTGCAACTTGTGGACCTGTTCTTTTTGTAGTTGCAGAGAAGAATTAATCTTCATTTCCCAAATATTTGTTGTTTATCAAAATTGGTTTTAGTGTCATGCTCTAGAGCCAGAGCCAAATTTGAGCTGATGGGCCTGGGGAAGCTGGGGCAGAACAAACCCAGCCCTCGTGCGGCCTTTTAAAAGCAATTTCCCCTTTGATAACAGCTGGAATCAAACCAATCCTTCCCCTTCCCCTCCCCCCCCACATAACACAACAATCTACTCACAAAAAGGGATGAACAGTTCAGGTTTCAAGGACTTTCAAACCAGGACTGTGGCGTACAACAGAAACAAGAACAGGGGGCTACAGACCTCCAAAATCCCTTCTGAAGAGACAGGCACTTCAGGCACTTTGGTTTGTGCTGAACCTTTGCCTCACCACATGTCATCACAGGTTATAAACAAGAGACAAACAAGACTTCTGTCTGATCGGATCATTTGTTACACATTAACAATAAAATTGAAAAACAAAACAAAACAAAACAAAACCCAAAACAAAACAAAACCAAAAACCAAACCAATTCTCCCAATAGGGCATAAAACAGAAGTTATGAAAACCAAAAATGAACGTTAGTTTCATCAGAAATGTGCCTGTTGGGTGTGTTAAGTTAATGGCCAGCTCACCAACGTTTCTGCACCAAAAATGAGTTGCAGTTCTTTAGGAAAACAAGATACTTTCCTTTTACAAAGGCTAGGTTGTCCATTAAAACTGTGTCTTAAGAAGAAACTATTGCTACAAGGTACTTCTAATCTACACTCTATTCTAAGAATGGAGACAAAAGAGGTTACGTAGACAGCACAAATTAACTCCTTAAGTATTAATGCATCTCCATTTTCAGCCTGAAGGAGTACATATCTTAAGGAGCTATGAAAAACAAAATAAATATAACTTAACAGTCCTAGCAATTTATAATGCATATACAATAGTTCACCTGCATCCTTTTGATTCTCTATATGAAAGAGAGAAAGCAACAGGGAGAGAAAAGAGAGAAACAAGAACAGATAGGCAGGATTAATGAGCAAGTGGACCGCACAGCCCCCCAGTAATGCGTGATATATGACATTTGAAAATAAGATAAGTTGCCCCGTCTCGCCCCCCGCCCAGCAGCATGGTGTTACCAAAAGAATCTCTTTTCACAGAGGTGAAAGAGAAAGCAGTACCAGTAGGAAATCGGAGAGCACGAGCTCTGCTGATGCACAGGGGCTCTCCGAGCAGCACCCGGGCTCCTGTGTCCCCTCCAGAGCTCAGCAGAGAGGAGCAACCCAAAAATCCAGGAGGAGAACAAGTACAGCACTTCCGCTTGAGAGAACGGCCAGGAGACATGTAAGAGCTGATGCACGCAGGAAGGACAGCCTCACATGATCTCATACGCAGGCTTCATTACAGATCGTGTACGCGGGAGAAGGGACGGCTTTTCCCCACGTCCTTTACCTGACTGCTAGCTCGTTTCTCCCCGGTGTAGCTGCTGCCCTTTGATTGTGTACCAGTGACAAGCACTTTACAAATTGGGGTTACATGGAAGCAAAGTAAAAATGCATTCAGGTCACGGACATAAAGAGTAACTGAAAAAACTTACAAACAGTCTGAGTTTATCACAAACAAATGGCTAAATCGTCTAACCTGTTGTAGGCTGATAAAAAGTGACTGGACTTCTCACACTGGGTTTCACAGACAGAAGCAACAGACAAGCCAATGCTAAAAGACTTGAAGCAAGGAGAGTGAGTTTGTTTGGATCTGGACTTTCTCGAGGTAATGAGAACAGAGAGAGTGAGGACAGCATGGAGAGGAGGGTGGTAGGTACTCACGAATGGTTAAATCCATCACTTGAGAGGCCAAGCAGAAGACAGGATGCTCATACATTTCTCTCTTTTTCCCTATAAAAGAGGATTTGGGCATGCAAGAGGCTTAGGTCAGAGGTAAAGAGGTTATAAGGTTATAGGTCAGAGGAAAACTTCATATCAGGTTAAAAGGAAAATAGCCGCAGAGTATTTTGGGATACATACAGGATAAAAAGGGAAAAAAAAAAAAAAAGGAAAAAAAAAAAGGGTTAAAATTGGAGATCTACTGGATTAACCATTCAGCATGCCCATGAGTCACAAGAGAGGTTGTGACCATGACTCTAGAGGTTTGTTCAGAATTGTTTGCAAGAATATGATCAAAACGTCATGAATAGAGGGAAATAGATTTTCACTGGTTCAAGGCTCCGAGATACTAAGGATTTCAGCCTTCAGTATCTAAGACTTTCACAGGTATTTCTTCATAAACATAGCCTTGAGCACTGCTGCCATTGATTCTGTTTTGCACCTCTGACAAAACTCTCTTTTCAACACGTGGCTATTCAAACGTCAGCATTCGAAAGCAAGATTTCAAAACCACGCACAGCATCCAGAGATGCAGCTCACCGAGGCAAATTTGTTCTTTGCTCTTCTAAGCAACTATTGGAACACACAGTGGACTATGCTCATGAGAGAAAACCTGATGCATGCAGCTGGCGGATGTTGGGTTGTTTGAACTAACAAGCCCAGCATGCTTTGAAATTGGTGTTACAACCACTTTTATAGAAACAGGATAAAAAAGTGGCTGTGGCCAATCACGGATAAAGGAGGAGAAAAGCAGAAGAGAGCAGGTAGTGTGGAATGAACTATTTCCCTGAAAAGGTAGCTGGAAAAAAAATGCGTTGCTTCAAAGTATTCCCAGACCTAAAAGTCACAGTGCAAAAAAGAGGGCAGGTAATTAACACAACCAAGAAGAATTGAGGCACAAAAGGAAAAGTACACACTAACTGTTCTACTTTGGAAATGAATGCATTTTTACTTACAGATCATAAAGTTTGTTTTTGCATAGATTTATCTGAAAGAAGAGAGCAAATCTTACCAACGAGTTAGTGATATTTACACAGAGAACCTAAGGGAGCCAGCACTGGGTAGAAGCATCCATCAACAGAAAAGCTGCTTTTGATTCTCAGTCCTTCTCCAGCCTCTCAAACATATTTAAACATTGCATTTTACAGAATACACCAATTAAAATATCCTGTGAAGTTGAGTACTTTGATAAATTGCCTGATAATGCAGTGCTTATGGAACCTTCATTCCTTCTCTATTTTAGTCACTCATTACCAAGTCAAGAGTTGATAAACATCCTTTTAGTGCCCAATTCTTAAGTGTTTCTCACTGGATGCATAACAATGAATTCATTACCACTGGTACACAATTTGCATCGTTAGACAGAAAAAAAAAGATGGAAAAAGAGAGGACATGTCATGTACAGAACCTGGACAATTTGTCATACAACAACCCAGTTTTTCACGTAAACAAGAACTAGGAAAAGGTCAGAGGGAGCCGTTTTTTTTCTCCTCTCAATATTGTCCTAGAGGCATAGAGTGATAATCTCAGCTGTAGGAAAGCTTCACATCACACATAACAGAAACCCAAAGTCTAGAGCAGAACATACCATTCATCTGGAACATAGAGGTTTAAGCAATTGCAAACTCGGATACAGTTGGGTAGGAGTTTCAAGTTGGGAACAGCAGCCCACAAAGGTAGCAACATAAACTGATCAACACGTAAAGAACTACTGGATCAGAGAGCTTCAGCTGACACGTATCCTCCAGCAAGCTTTAAAATGTCTTTTTGATGGCTACATGTGTCTCTGGTCACTGGTTATTATTCTCCCATAACTTAAAAGGTCAATAATATCAGCTGTGCCGGATTTAGAGTGACAAGAAAGAAATCTGATGCAAGTACAGGACCAACTGATCAATGACTGCTATGCACAGTGCAAAGACAAGGAAACACTCCCAGAAAAAGACATTTTAAATCGGCTACAAATGATTAAGCACAGATTAAACAGCTTTTCAGCTTCTTATTTTTCATTTGCTTCCTGAACTCCACTGTCACAAACAATTAGCTGCACTATACCTTCAGCTGCAAAGATGACAACCCAAGTATTTCTCAATTTGTTCTTTAAACCACTGCGTGAGTCTGAATAGTACACCACTGGCCAAATGCACTAAAGATATTAAAAATAAAAAAAAAGCTACAGTTCCTTTTAACTGTTTCCCCTCTTTTTTTCCAGGAAAAAAAAAAATGTTTTACATAGCTTTCACTCTTAACTGCTTCAAAAGCAAACATCACAGAAATGATTCATAATCACATCAGTTTTATTGACAAGTGAATAAATAGTAAATGAGTTTCTTTCAAATAGCTCCCAGCCACAGTTGCCACCTAGAAATATAACAAAATTGTAATTTCACAAAGAAAGAGCCTTACCTTCAATTTTGGCATACTCTGATAGTCGAGTATAATTGACTAGAGCTGCTTGCTCCAAGCATTTACGGATGACTGTTTTTACCTCCTCTTGAGGGACTGGAGTAACTATGTCTTTCATCAGAACCTTGACACAAGAAAATCTGATTTGTTGTGGCATCAGGCACACATAACTGTTTTTTCTCCAAGCCCAACAAACACATCTGTTTCTGCCCCAGTGCTGCGTGGCTCTCGGGGTAAGCACAGAATAGGCAGAACCGACGACAGGGTCACCTTGGCCTGACTGAGATGTGGGACCTACCCTTTTCCTGGCATTCCCTGTCTCTATCCATATCCTATGGCATGCTCCAAAATCTGTGCTTCCCATTCCTTAGGGAAAGACATTAAGATTTATCCCAGCTTCCTCAGGGCTGGACAAAGTTTGCACTTCTGATGATCTGAGCTCATGTCTGGGCTTGGCTGCACAGGTTAACTACAAGGCATTGCTTGTAAGGGTCTGCAGCATTGGTTGCTCATCAGAGAGACAGCTAGTCCTTATGCAGGCACAGGTATCACCTGCACTGGTGGTAAGGGCCATGCTGCACCTGGCCTCCAACCTGAAGCAGGAAAAATCAACAGTCCCACCTAGTATTTCAATATTAACTACCAGAATTAGACACCCTCTGCAAAACAACAGTTCCTTAAGCTCTCCTGGATGGAAAGATTTATGAATGCAAGTATTTTTAACTACTCTTTGTCGTTTTTATGCTTACCCTTTCCAGCAGCGATAGAGTGGCTTTTAGCGCACCTTCTGGACGGCCAAATGGAAAGCAGTACCTAGAAAAATCACAGCATGTTAACATCAGACCAGGTGTGTCAATCAACATTTCCAGTGCTATGAATATGCTTTCCCACATATGTTCAAGCAATTCTCTGGTCTTGATCTTAGTGTTCTTTCCACTGAGTAATTTTCAGAAATGGCTCATGTTGCAGATGGAAGAAAGCAAGACGGAATTAGGGGCAGTGAGGAAGGTCAGCTAGTTTTAGTTTATTAACTAAAATTAAATTTATTTTATTAGATCTCGTTACCTGGGGAGTTTTTAGGTCTCCTAAGGAAGAGTTAACTATCATCTCCTTGTGAAAACAAAACAAAGCTCCAGCTGTCTCCAGCTGGAGACCCAGGTTCAAGGGGCTCTGGCACAGACCCAGTGTGCTAGCCCATGTCACCCACCCGCATGTGCAACAGAATGAAGCTGGTGTGCTACAAAGGCAGCTTATCCCTTTTAAGGGGGGTAGGATCCTTCGTTTCTGCAATATCGACATCCCTGAAGAAAGCCCTGCCCTTCTGTATGCTAGTAAATATAAATGGCTAATAACTGAGAACAGAAATAAGAGAATAGGGGTTAAATTTTAGAAAAAAATCAGCATTACTCTGCTTACAGAAGCAAGATGGTTTGAAATACCCGTTTAAAGGTTATTTCTTTCAAGGCACTCTCCAGATAGAAACATGCTACAGTGCAAGCGTCACTGCCCTGCTCAGGTCTGTGCTGCTTATGCAAGATTCCTGCAGGCATTCAAAACCTGCCTTTTGGCTTTGCTGATTAAAGGAGGGAGTTTGGAGGAAATCAGCCCTCTCCCATTCAGCCTCGAGTCTCTGCCTTTACCTAAAGTGCGTGATCTGATTCTCCAGAAGCACACGCAGCCGCTCCTTGATCTCTTCAAATCGCTCTTTCTCATCGACGGTTACCGTTCCTATCCCATCCGGCCTGAAGGAGAAATGCCATGAATGACTCAGACTCCACCTCACGACCCTGGGAAATCATCTGCGCAGCAAAGCACATGCTGCAGGTTGGGACACAGATGTCACCAGCCATTAGACCCAGGACAGAGCGAGCTGAGACGCAGCAGTCACAGCAGCACAACCGCAAAGGTATCAGAGAGCAAGAAGGCAAAAAACACCCCCTCTCAGAATGATAATCTGTATACGGACAACCCACCCCCCCCCCCCCCCCCTCCCCTCCTCCCCCGCGCCTACTCCCCCCTCGCCGCCCACCACCACCACCACACACCCCCCCCCCCCCCCCACCCTCCCGTATTTTTTTTTCTGTGACAGAAAAGCCTGAAAAATACATGAAAAACCAGAATCCCTTCTTACATATAGGTATACAACAAGGAGCGCAACGCCAGCTTTCACAGCGGGATTGGGCTCATTGCTGGCAAAATGTGGATTTCTTAATTTCTGCAGAAAAATTCAGCTGTTAATTTAACATAATTCACAGCATTAGGAATATCGACAACAAGCTTCTATATGAACAGAATGTAAAATTCTGCGTCACTGAATCACCTTATTACAATAATTTATTGAAGTCAACCGTCTTCAATATATTCTGCCAAAATGTACCTAGAAAGTGGTAAGTATTTTTTACCTGAGTGATAACAACGAACACGTTTTATCACAGAATTTCTGGGAGAATTTGCTACACCCTGGCATTTGCTGCGTGCACAGGACTGCATTGTAAGACCCCAGGCACTGGCTCTGCCTCGGGCGCTCCTCATCCATCCGTCACCGAGCACAGTGTGCAACGAGCACTGCTACGGCTCTCCCAGGCTGGGACGGGTGTCCCCATGCTCCCGTCCTCCTGACACAGACCGGGCTATAAGCAGCCATGCCCTCCTTTTCCCTGCACCCAGATGGCAAATCGCACGGTGGAGCAGCACGGGCAGAGGAGCCTAATCCATCACCAAAGGGCTCGGCGCACCAGACAATCGGCAGCACCGCTTCCCAGCCCTGATGAGCAAAATCTGCAGATTTGTGTACTCCTGGGCAACTCCGCTGGCACAGGCGCTCTTTAGGTAATGTGAGGCGTCTTAAAATTGAACAAATGTTCTTACTTAAAGGCCTCCTCCAGTGTTCGGCTTAAGCTGCATAAATCCTCAGTACTAGACTGGTTCGGCTATACAAAAGACTTGGCAAGGGATTACAAAGCTTCTAATGAACCTCCTGTCAGGGGTTAATTGGTTGGCTTTATTTTCCTCTTAAAGAATCAAAGGCCTTAAACTTAAAATAAAAAAATACAACATAAAAAAAAAACCTATAAAAATGAAAAGCAATAAAATCTGTACCATCTCTTCTCCTTGACCCCATATTTAGAAAGTTCTCAATATCACAGGTACAAACTCTGATATTCCAGTACAAATGAACACAATTAAAACATTTCAGGAGAGTAGCCAGCAAGCCTTACATGATGTTGACTGCATATTCTTAAAGCACTGTTAAGTAAAACTTAAAACGCAGAAAAAGAACTTGAATATCTGGAGATGTACTTAAATTTAAACAGCATTTCATCAGAATTTGTTACTTGACTATTTGCCAAATTCAGTTGTGCATTAAGGAAAAAAAAAAAAAAAGGGGGAAAAGATTTAGGCTAAAACTTGGATAAAATGTCTCATCTGGGGAACGCATTTCATAAACATTTTTGGAAGTATGGATCTGGTCTCATTAGTACCTAATTAAGGATAGTTATTTTGAAGAAATGAGCAAGCCACGGGGGAAAAAAAAAAAGAAAAAAATTAGACATCGAGCAAAAATTCATGTCGGAAGATGCTCAGTATACTTTTCTTCCCAAATTCCATCAAGTAGTTAATACTCTGACAGAGATATCCCTGCCTTTTGTTGCGCTGTGCACCTCGCAGTGCCAGGTTTGCTCCCAAGCAAATAACTCAGGGCAGGTTGTGATATATGCTGTACATGAAGGGCAGGGCTGACTCTCTCGTCTGACTTCTGGCACTCCTGTACCCGCAGCAACCGGCGGTGTCACTGGGTTAATTGTGTCAGCGCTGAGGTAGTGAAAGCCGCCCACGCTGGCAGCGATTTGCTGGTGGACTGGAAATGGTCTGAAAGTTATGTTACCCTTTGCTGGGTCAGCAGCCTCCAACAGGGAGACTTATTGCCAGGGCACCTGGTGGGTCTAGGTGAGGTCTGTTCCCCCAGCAGACAGTGCTTATCTGAGGAAGGGCTGCTTGTAAAACCACCATTAGCTGTAAAAGACATATTGAAGGGATTTAACTGGAAGCAAAGTGCAGTAATGTGAGAACCACACCAGTGACTGGGCATCCCACTGCTGGTGCTGGTCGAGGCAGCATCAGCACGTGTCTGACCGCGCAGCCCTCCCACATGAATCATACCCTCACTGCATGGGAAGGGCCTGTGTTTCATCAGAAACAAGCATGTAATGAGCTGTGCAAACACCTGATGTGCCACCACCGTCTGCGGCCTGCTTTCACAGCACCAGAGCCATGTGAGGAGGCATGGCGGGCTTTGGAGAACAAAGACCAGGAGCAAACAGCCCTGCCTTCACCTACGGTGCCCCTCGGCCCCCACAGCCCATGGCCAGCAGCCAGCATGAGGCATGAGGAAGGAGAGTCCATCCCCACACAGGGACCCACACATAGCCCAAGCGGCAAGCCGCTCTCCTGGATCATGCTCCAGCAAACTTGAGACAAGCTACAGGTCAGCCGTAGCCATTTTTGGAGCAGCGCGGATGTCTGGAAGGGCCTGCCAGGAGAGAGCCATCACCACTGCAAGGACTCCCTTTCTCACCCAGCTGTGGACTATATTGCATCTGACATGATGAGCATCTCTCGAATCTACCTTTCAAATTTTCGGCAAACCATTTTCTCACTGTCCTTCACAAAGTTGACATTTTCGGCAGCATGATAGGAAAGATGTCATGTCGGCTGCTTTTCAAGTTGTTGTCACAGTGGTTAGCACCAGTTCTGTCATCTTTGCTTTCCTCACAATCCCCCATCTTGAGCCATGTCACAAATAATAATACTTCCCATGTTTTTGTCAAATTTCAAATACTATAACCCAGCTGCACGTCTTCGGATTTACTAGTTATGTTAATCTTGTTGCTCATCTTCTCAGAAGCTGAAGCATTAGGAACTCATTAATTAGTGACAAATGCAGGATATACATAGAACTGGAAAAACACCACCGAAAGCCTTGCACTTAATTTATTAGCTGGATAATTTTAAAACCTAATTAAATATGCAAGTCAAATATACTTTGAAAATGCTATCTTTTTGAGGGAACATATTTATTTTCCCTCTGCAAGAACACAAAGGCTATGTAGCCTAGCATTTAAGATCCACTTCTGTGCTCTAGACAATTCCATTACGTGGCTGATGGGACTGAAAAAAATCCACAAGAGAAGTTCAGGTCTCACCAACTTGTTTCTGATGCTTATCAGCAATTTTGTTTTTAACAATGATCTCCAGCTCAACTTTTACATTTGATATCTTATCTGATGGGCAGAAGCACCGACTCCTCCAGCAAGCAGCATTTCTGCAGCAAGGCTGGCTAAAACACAGCCAGAGGAAACGAATGCGCTCACACAATCTTAAACTGCATCCCTGTAACACCGAGCTAAGCAGGGATGGGCAAGGAGAAAAAAGCAAAGTGGTGAAGAATAGTTCTGTACGTACACGATTTGTGCAGAGCCACAAATGACAAAACGGGTCTGAACCTATGGGGTCAGGTCTGCAAACAGAACAAACATCACCATCTAAGTGGGGACACCATTTCATCTGATTCTCTATAGCTCACGGACACTCGAGGTGTGTGCCATAAGTTGTGGGCAGAAAGGGAAGCAGAAGGGCAAAAAAGGCAAGAAAAATAAATAAGGAAATTTTTAATTATAAGTAAACAAGTTTCGAATCACTCCTTCTGCTGCAGATTCACTATCTTGGCTCAAAACTAGTCAATTCCCAATGTAAATATTTCACACGGAAAGTTTTAAATGCTGCTTTCCCTATTCCTCATTGTTTTTAAGTTATAAACCACGAAAATAACAACACCAACAAAGCAGGTGGTGAAATCAAAAAAAGGGGCTGCAATTTAAACAGCGAAAACGATAGTCCTTGTTTAGCTTGGACGGTTTGTGCAAATTCCAGGGTTAATTATAAATTATAATTAGGACCTGTGATCCTAAGGCCACTGCTTTATTCTACTAGCCCCGCCTCCCCCCATGCCCTTTTCTAATTATACCCAGTGCCCCCAGGGCTAGTTATGCTGCTAAAACAAATATATCAAAATGATTTTTAACAAAGACTAATATATGAAGCAATAGCATGCATTTGTATGCAATTATAAATATACAGTATAGCTCCAGTGGGTTAATCTCTTTGACATAAGCCTGTACGAAATACCATGGTGGCTCACGAATGGAAAGACAGATCATCTTTTACACCTTTTATGTTTAACTTGTCTACACTTTTTCTACTGGGGAAAATATTGCTTACACGTAGCAAACAGATCTTTGCACGCACTGTGAGCCCTGGCATTCACAGCCAGCGAAAAAAAAACAATGTCAAAAACTGATGCAAATAATTTGATTTCTTAAGTAACAACTCAAATATAAAACACGTGCTGCCTTCAGCTCCCTTGCTGCTTGCCAGGTGCAGCACATATGAGCCATGCAGTAAACACGGATGATTAGCGCCTTGGACAGCGCGTGTCAGGATGGCTTTGGGAGGCTGCCTGGCAGGAGCTCACAGGGGGAACCGATGCTGGGCCACGTCGGGATGCGGGACCACAGCTGGTGTCCTGCCTTCCCGCGTCGCCCTTAGCAAAGCCGACCTGAAAGAGCCCACCTGGTTACACCCCTTGAAAAAGCTTTTTCAGCCAACACCAGTTTGGCCCAACGTCCCTTTCTTCTGAGAATTCACACCGGCTGAAAGCCCTTTGTTTGGCTCATTCCGCCACCCGCTCTCCTTCCCTCCACGCCGCCGCAGGTGCGAGCCGCTCCGTCCTCCCAGCCCGCCTGCCTCGTGCTCCCGCTCCCCTCCACGCCAACGCCAAGTCACGGCTCATCGCTTCCCATGTGCCATCCACACCCCCGACGCCGCGCGACTGAACCGAATGGCTTCTGAGCACTGCCATCCCACACCTATTGCAACGCATCACGTCAGCCCCAGCCGTGTGTCTGCCGGTCGCGGGCGATGCCGGATTGCATCCGACAGACGGCCGCCGCACACGCCGTGTCATTGCGGGGCTGGCGCGACACGGAGCCGGCACCTAACGAGGGGTTATGGTGTTATGCCCTGTGAGGTCTGCAGGCAGGGCTGCTCATCTGAGCGCAGCGATGTGTTGATGTATTTAGCACTTCTCTCCCAGGACCAAAATGCGCCGTTTTGTTGGTCTGGTTTTTATTTTTAAAGTCGCGGTATGGAAATCTTGCCTTTATATGGGATAGCCGGATACGCAATTAGAAAATAAACGAAAAATATATGAAAGTGTTACGCAGACTTTCTGATTCTCCAAGGTCTGTGACAACAATATTATTTCTGGTTTTGTGCTGTAAAACACAGCTCACAGAGGGAAGCATAGGTCACTGGCATATCAGGATACTTAGCAGGGAGACTTGGGGGTGTGAGGACTTTGGGTAAAAGCCACTGAACAGCTCACCACAAAGGATGCTATCAGACTGCAGGAGATTCAGGCCAGCATCCTGATTTGGATAAGCTCAACGTCTGCTAACACTTCACACACACAATCCATATTTTACTTTTATCTGTAAAAGATTCAGATTAGCAAGGAGAGAAAGAGTCCTTTTTGGTGCCAATCTGAACATCTACAAAGAAAGTTAAACATGGAACTCTGCTTTCTTTAAACCATGTCAGTCCATTGCTTACGCTACTTTCTGGAGGACTGCTGGTAAAGGAAAGTGATGGCCTTAATGGTCTCAGGAGCACACAGACATCAGTAACCACACAGCCTGTGCTGTCGGTGTCTGAGTGATGCTACGTGTTCCTTGCATTTCATGCATGTATAGACATCAGAAATCATCAAACCTCACATAACAGCAGAATTTCACAAAGGCATCAGCGGTACCTGGTGGGTAAGACCCTGCTGTGAAATCGCTTGTGGCCACAGCAGTGAAAAGCCTTCAGTTCGGGTGTGCAGCAAGTAAGGAGGGACCAGAAAATGCTCGACAGCGAGGGCTTGCCTGCCTCTGGCCCCTGCCTTTCCGACAGCCTGTGCACAGTACACACAGGTATCTGCTGGAGGTGAAACTCAGGACAAGCAATTTACATTTAACCACGGTTTTTTTTAATTTCAAAACAGAAGAAATTGACAGAAAAAACAAGGGGACTGTCATGCAAATAGCAGTGATTTACAGCCTTCTTTTGGAGAGATTATATCGGGCTTCCAGGGCTCTGAATAAACTACAAGAGCCCAAAGGGAGGCAAAAAAAAAAAAAAAAAAAAAAAGAAACCCTATCTAAAGCACCAGGGCTCCAAACCAGCTCCAAAATCGCACTGTGACCGCGTCACCTGCCGTGGCGGCGGGGTCAGCCCGAAGCTGGAGGTGCAATGCCACCCGCTCTGCCCGGGCACGGCGGTGCCGGACAGGCGAGGCAACGCGCCCGCACTGACGCCTGTCATCCTGTCAGCCCCGAGCTCCGGGCTGTCCCCGGCATCCGAGCGCCCCGCACCTCCCCGCTGACTGCGAGCGACTGTTGTCTCGCTGCCTGACCTTACACAAACGCGATGCAAACAGACAGCCCACCTCAGCTCCATCACTGTCTGCTGCTAATACAGGAGATTGATAGCCACATGAAATCAACTCCCCGCTCGACCTTCGGTGCTGGGTGGCATATTCTGACTGACAGCCAACCTCATTCTGGAGAAAATCAAACTACCCAACTTCTTCTCTCTCTCTCTCTCTCTCTTTTTTTTTTTTTTTTCTGTCTAAAAAGTGAAGTAACTTCTTTTTATAAAGAAAATCAAATCAACACTTTCTCGGTTTTGACAGAGGAAAGAAGCCTTTGTTAAACAGAAAGATGCCTCCGAACTTGAATCCTCCCCCTGCACTGGGGCGCACGGATGGCAGTGGTACCCGGCGTACAAGATGCTCCATCAGGCACAGTGCTGCGTGCTACACAGTCCCAAGCATGGGCATGCACCCACCTCTACCAAATATACATGGGAAATTTTCTTCTATAGGCTTGCTGGGCAGAGCATAGTCCCCGGCTAACCCTAGGCAATGGATGCGAATGGTATGTGGGAGGAAGGGATGCAGAAGAAAAGAACCCAGCTCTACACACGCCATAATTACCAGTAAGCACTGCATGGATAAATATCAGCTTCTCTGTGCACTCTGCCAGCCAGCTCTCAAATGCATGATGTAAGTGGCCTAAACAGTGTTCTGAAAAGAAACCACGACTCTTCCACTCAGCCACTAAGATTTCTATTAGTAGAAATGAAAGAAAGGGAGTCACGTTTTCTCCTGCAGATCCCCTGTGGCTCCCTGACTTCCTGATAGCAGACGCCACACCACTCAGTTTCTGTACCAAACTCTTCACCACATGTGCCCATGGTCCTGGCAAGAAGCACGATGCTGCAGCCCCAGCAGCCCTGAGACAACCATGAGATGGCCCCAACTGAGAGGGATATACCCCTCAGACATTTGGAGTCAGCCATCAGCTAGCCATAATTAAGATGGAGAAAAGCACACAGTTCCCAATAGCAATATTTTAATCAAATCTATCAGGCCAGCTTCATAGAGCTGCATGTTTGGAAGCACCCGACTGTGTCCCAGCAAAGCACAGCAGCCACCCACATCTCTGGGAATGCACAGAGACACAGCATTGGAGTCTGCACATCCCATAGGGCTTAAGGCATCATGGCACCTTCAGATACATCCTGCCACTGACACAGGAAGAGGATTCTGAGGCTCTGTTGTGCTGAACCCTGAGAGGAACTACACCGAATAGCCATGACCAGTAGCCAACTTCCTTTTCATTACACAGCTTTGGAAAACAGGACTTGGACCAGATCCCATCTACAAACCAAGGATCCGTGTGCAGTTCCTTGAACACACCTGAATCACACCCACCCCAATCCCTGCATGCCGCAGCCCTGCAGCCTGCCCAATGTGCTCGGTGACCGAGGAGCTCGCTGCCACCTACAACACACTGCTGTGCACTGTGCGTTTTGCTTACCTTTTTGGCTCTGGATTCGGCTGGGATTTGGAATCTTTCCTTTTTTTGGACTCCTTTTTGGAATCCTTTTTTGTCTCCACTTCAGCAGCGGAGGGCTGAGACACTTTGCCCACCTCGCCGTCTGCGCTTGGCTGTGACCCGCCAAGCAACTCTGCCATGTGGTGGCTTTGGGGAGTGATTGGGATGTGCAGGGGGGGGAGGCCAGCAGCACGAGTGGAAGAAACAGAAGAAAACATGAAATAAAAACCACAAAGCAAAAGAAAAGGAAACTAAACTGAAAGCAAATAAGTGAAATCAAAGAACAATTGGCAAAGATGGAACAAACGAGTGAAAGAAACTTATAACTGAAAAAGAAACTAAGGAAGCAAAAACTTGGTTTCCATGACAAGATGTATGGAACTAACTGCAAAGCAAGTGGCAGACTTGCAACGTGAAACCTGGGCAATATGTGTCATAATTCAGGATGTTATTTACCAGAGGGTTTATGAAAACATGTTATTATTTTATAACACTCATTTCTTCAGCAGCATGTGCAGGATAGATACCAGCATCTCCAAATATATAATGCAATTTAACGGGGAAAAAAAGCAGAAAAAGAAGCTGCAGTACATTACAACAAAATAAATAGAAATGGAAAAAGCATAGCTCCACTCCTGCCACCAAAGATTTTCCATATTTGAGAGAAAGGAAAGGGCTATTGCTTAAACTGAAATTCCTCTGCAATAGCAGCAAGATAAAATTCCCAATTATGCCTGAGCAATCAAGGGCTGACGTCACACTGCTGATCAGACAGAGGTGCCTGAGGGCTTCAAGCACTTCTGAACACTGAAGTTTGATACTGCTGAAAATTTCATTGCTGCAACTTGTCAGATCCCCTCGTGCAGTAATTAAATCAATGCAGGATATTGCTTACACCCATTACATAATATTCGACCCATGACTGTCACATGTACTTCAACTCTATCCTGTCCAGAACTGCATCTAGCAGGTGTCTGGGTAAGAAAGTTACCAACCTTCTTCTCTGGATCCTCAATGTGCATTTTTATTGCTTACATTAAACAAGCAGTGAAACAAACAAACAAACCGACTATGCCACTAGAAGCGCTGCTGCCAAACATCCAGCGTGAAAACATATCCAAGGAAACCTATATCTGACAAAGTCATCCCTTGCTGGCAGGGAGCTGCTAGCCAAGAATAATTCCTTACCTGTTGCCATGAACATGTGATGCACAAAAGGCAAAGCTGTAGTGAAGTAAGGTGGGGTCAATCATAGCTCCGTTTTCTGCGCGCTCTAGCAAATCTCTGAGGTAGCAGAGATGTCTGTGACAGCCTCTCACTCCATTACGTGCACAATACTCATCTAGCACAAAGACCTGGCCAGGACTAAACCAGCCCTGTTTAGAAATAAAGAGACTTGATTTTAAATATAAGTTATTAAATACAAATGTTATCAGATTTGGAGGTGTAGTGGTCAACTGTTCTAATAAAGGAAATACAAACCTAAGGCTACATTAAGAAAAAAGGAGAGAGGTCACTCTTAAACAAAACAGTCTGCATATCATCACCTATCACAGCATATATTCAGTGCAACTGTTAACAAAAAGATATTACGCTACCATTAACAGGAAACGTCATTTAAAATGCTGGAAAGTGAGGCCAGTTCATGTCAGTGCCTAGCAAAAAAAAAAAGAAAGAAAGAAAGAAAGAAAAGATTCACACCTTTAAAGAGATGACAAAGATTAGATTATTTAAGCAACATGAAACAGTAATCTCATTTTGGGGAAGAGACTGCACATTTGGCCAGGAGTGAGAAGAGTGATCTTGGGGAGAACATGGAGGATTACAGTGAACGACTTCTCCTGCATTTGGCACGTAGGAACGTCCTGAAGATGGAGGAAGGCAGATCCACAGCATCAGAAAAGGACATGTCGTGTCGTTCTCATTGCGTACCCTTGGAGACGCGCTCAGTTCGCCCACCACCTGGCAGGCCAGCGCTCCTCGGCATCGCAGCAAGCACAGCTCTTTCAGCTTTCCTTGAGCATCCACAAACCTCCAACAATTGTTGCCCATCAGTCCTAAGGGCTTGGTGACATACGTCCATGCTCCCGAGGAGGACTCTGTCCCATGAGAGGACTGCGCAGTGCCCGGTGAATGTCCCGGGACAGCAAAGTGTGCCCCTGCCTTCAGCGAAGGTGCTAGCGAGAACGAGAATATTCCTGTAGATTGCTTTTCAAAACGCTGCAAAACCGTCAATATTTACATGGAAATTTGGGTGCTAAACAATTGCTAAGACGCAGCTCTGGAATGCATCAAGCTGCAAAATCTTTCATCGTTTAATTGAAAAGTTCCTGCAGCGGGCGGGAGAGTAGTTGAGGCAGAGCACTGCCCCTATAGGCAACTTCTTTGCCACCCCATCTGTTACCCCAAATGCTACATCTTAGAAACAACACTGCTGTGAAAGATTAAAATATATTTTCTACCACTCAGATGACACCAAATCTTTTCTAGATGCCAAAATAGCTGCTTTGAAAAGAGTTGAAGAAATATCAATTAAGAGCTCAAAGACATAGAGAAGGATTTGCTCATCCTTATTGGGCCAACTCCAAAACAGATTGAGAAAAGAATTAAAATAATGAGGGGAAAATGATAGATATAGGGAGTAGCTACAATTCTGGGATCACTGGAAGTGCACATTTCAAAATGAAGATACAGAACAATGCAGATGGGACAGCACTCTGGAAGGCTATTTTTTGGGAGGGGTATATTTGCTTTCACTGCTTTTTACTGGTATTTTTGTTTGCTTTTTGGTTAGAGGCATTGATTCTGGACGTCTTTATGTTGCCTGTTTGTTACATCCTTGGACCATCTCCTCACCTTCACCTTGCCCCTTTTCTTTTAAGTCTTTGGTAATTAGGTATGGGAAAAATATAGAAATACCATAATTACTCTGAAATAGATATGTGGATTTGGTTACCAGGGTAGAAATGCAGTTTAAATTGCTACATTCATCCGATATATAGAGAGGACTCGATCCTTCCTACAGGGTGAAATCTTAGCACCACTGACATCAATGGGAAGGATGGCACTAATCTCCCTGGAGCTGGGTATCAAGCCCACAGTTTGGGGTGAAGGAAGCAAGAAGCTGGACCTGCTGTGTTCCACACTGCTCCCCTGCACCAGAGCCAGAGAAGTGCTAGCACTTAGACAGGAGAGATGGGGCAAATCCTCAAGATTGCTCCCCTGGTGCAACACAGGGAAGCCTGAGCAGAAGCTCAGAGGTTCAGTAATGAGCCTCAAACCTTAAATCTCATGAGAGCACACCCAAGGAAGCCATGGGAGAATCCAGACCAAGGAAGACCAGAAGGTTTCCCTTTGCATGGCAGAGATATGAAATAAAACAAAACAAAACAAAAGAAAAAAAAACAAGAACTGAACGGAGGTACAAAGGGGCAGCAAGTGCTGCTCCTCACGGCCTCAGAAAAAAAATAAGGTCTGATGAAAGGCTGTATTCAGACAAATCCCCCACATCTTCAAGCAGATCCTGGCTGTTGATGAAGATTTGCCTGGCACAGCCAACTGTCACCCCACCAGTCTGGCAAACACAACTAGTAGTGACACACTGGATATTTCACCCAACGTGGCTAGGTGTAGCTCAGTTTGGTCTCCCAAGTGTCCTCAGTGGCATTGAGAAAGGCAGAGTGGACACTGGAAGAAGGCTGTAGAGCATGGAGAGCTCAACTGACAGTGACTGAGAAGCTGAATGGCACTGAGACCACGCCATGCATCCCTGGCACCAGTGGGAAGTGCAGCAGGAGATTCTGAGCTAGGCCTGTCAGGTTTGGTGAAACACTGGAAAATTTTCAAAATGGTAGAGTGCAGTTTCTGTGAAAATCACGATTTTTGAGGGAAAATTTTCATTTGTCAGCACTTGCATTTTCTCATTTACCATGGAGAAAAAAAATGGATAATTCAATTTGGAGGCTTGCTTTATGGGCCTTTTCATCCAACCCCTTCACAAATTATCTCTACTAGACTGGGCATTCTGGAAGACCACATCTTGCTATAAGCTGGGTGTTCTGATGCGAATTCCATGAATCCTGACACAACTGCTGCAGCAGGGATCCAGCTGCATGAGCTGAATGCTGGTAGTAGGTTGGGAAGTCTTCGGAAGAGTAGAAAGGCAGGCTCAGAAATAGCGTAAGTGTCCATGAAGATAGGAATGAAGTTCCATGCATGCGTGGGGTTGATATAAAGCTGGAAGAGTTACATACTCTTTCCCTATCAGAAAGTCCAGGAAGAGCTGTGAAAGCAATTGTGCATTCAGCTTGTGGTCGATGGGCAAAAGCCTCAGTAAGCAATGCCGACAACGCTCTTCCCCTTTCCCAGCACAGTGCTCTCTGCCAGCAAACATCACTTCTGCCATAGCTGAGATTAGTCAGACAGCCTGTTTGTTTTCATAGGGATGCCTGGCTCAGCCAGTGAGTGGGCTCGCATTAACGTTGTTTAACCTGGTTCCATGGAAGGGAGGCAAAGCTGAGCTATTCTGTGTCAGGGTAAGCCACTGTGTCTGGGTAAGTCTTCCATGGTACTTCCAAGTCAGCATTGGAAAATAAGATGTAGGACAAGGCAAAACTCTTTGGGACTTGCACATGAACATCCTGTAGGAAGAACAATTGCTCAGCAGCAGACAGAGTAGGCTTACCACAGGCTCACAGCTCCTATAGGCAAGCCAGCACAATGGGATCATCAACTTCCCACAAACACCTCAAGAGCAGTGAAAGCTCCATGCGGTTGAACTCAATTTTTGAGGCCAGACTGATTTAACTTCACAATCAGGACAAAATCAAATTAAAATAAAGAAGCATGTGAAATCCAAGTGTAGGCGAACACAGCCCATTATTCTCGTCTTCATAACACTCTGTAACGGGTGATTTGAAAGAAGATCATTAATTGGTGATGCTCTGCTCTGAAGAGGCACAAGTCTTGGTGCTGAAGGGGACGCCATCACTCCAGTAGCTTCTACCAAGAGACCTAAACATCTCAATAACAAGCAGGTGTGTGGCTGGTGGGTGTCTTGAAGAGAAACATTATTAATAATTTTCAGCGATGACCTTGTGACTATCCTTCAGACATGAATTTAATTAAAAGGCCACAGATTCTTCACTGGGCCCAAGGCTGCACAGAGACAAACCAGCTGCAAGCCAACCTGTCAGACATGCATGGATGGGGATGGTCTTCCTAGAGCTAGCCATGCGTGGGGAGCAGAAGCTGCATGCCAAACCTACTGCCTGCTGTAGCAAAGTCCTTGATGGAGCTGGTGAGAAACTCACTGCAGGTCAGACAGTTCTCCCATCAAGCCTACTCACACCACTTGGGTATCTGGAGCCTTTCCCCATCCCATCCTTACCTCAGGGGACGTCCACAACTGTACCTCCTAGCCCTGCCTATCATTAGGAAGGTGATAACTCACTCCTGCTAATGGCATTTAATGGATCTCAGTTTTCCTGAGATCAACCAGTGTGGTGGGGCGCTGGGAGCTGAGCAGATGAGAGAAGCACCATGGCGGATGGGCACTTGGAGGACAGGATTTGATCTGGACAAGCCTGCTGGCAGATACTCAGCTGTGTTCCCAGTTTGTTGCTTTTAAAAGAATGCCGCTCAACAGTGCCAGATCCATGGACTGCACAGCTGGCAAAAGGTGGAGACAGTCAGGGTGGTTCTTTTGCAGGAGAAGCCAGCGATGAAACCCCAGTGTGGAGACTTGCGTGCAGCATGAGGAGGCCAGCAGGTCAGGGTCTGTCTCACACCTTTCAGGTCCTGCATTTCAGGTCTCATCTGCACCCTCTAGAGAGGCTTCACCCTGTTGTTTTCTCAAAAACTAAGAGCCTCTTCACTCCCACTCACCAAATCACTAGAAATTCATTGTTCATGTTGTACTGCTAAAAGTTATTTGTCATATAAACTCTCAGTAAGAGCCACCAAGCACTGCACCCAGCCAATGATTACAAGCAGTCATGGAGCATCTCCGTGCCACTGCCATACAGACGATGTTATACAGCAGTGGCCTGAGAGCTGCAATCTTTGCTAATGGAACAAACATAATGGGCATGCGACTACATGAGCAAGGGCTGACTGCAGGATCCCTGCAGCTCTCCATCTACTCCCACCTGTTACCTGCTTGGGATCCCTGCTCATACCGAGACACAGAGCTGGGCAACAGTTATTCCTGGTGTGACTCCATTGACATGGGAGGTGGTACCAGACCGTCATCCTTCCCCTGTTCTTTCATCCATAACACTCTGGAAGGCAGTGTGGGAGGCTGCAAAACACTGCTTCTGCTCTCTACTGCACATCCCCACACAGGAGTTTGTCTTTGCAGGAAGAAACATTTTAAACATTGCAAACAGAAATGATAAAGACAGTGCTACTGGAGAACAGCAGTCAGTTCACTGGAGGTAGCCTCTCAAAAGAAAATACCTCTGGCCCAAATTCAAACCTGGCGCAAACAGAAGTGAATCTTCCAGCAATGGGGGATTAGCCCCCAGTCGTACTAGCTTTGATTTTGCTGCTTGGTGTTTATATCACTAGAGACCAAAGAATATACTTGCCAGACAAGAATAGGAATCATTAAGTCTGTGGTCCAAAGTGAGGCGCTGAACCATCTCAAAGAGTGAAGCGTGGTCAAAGTTACAGGGATTGGAAGAGATAAATTCATCCATGCCATGCTTTTGAGCTCTATCTGCATCTGTTCATTTATACATATAGAGAAAGACACCATTTAGAGAGATATAACATATTTTAGTTGACAAAAACAACAGAAAAATATACAGTATGAAGCATGAAAGCTAAATATCTCCTCTTCCTTACATTGCCATTAACTTTTCTCTTTGCAGGCTACACAGTACACTCTTCACCTCCCATTGTCAACTTGCATCATTTATGGACAATCTTATTGCACTGTCAATGGCTCATTATAGTGCATTTATTCTGTACTTAAAAACAGAACACAAACCCAATAACTTACTCTGTATCTTACAATAGGCTACGAATTAACAGAGTTTTGGCTCAGATAAGTAAATTAGCTCCTATTTAGTTAGTTGCGGTTAATTATAATAGATTCTGCCATTCTAATGAAGTTATAGCTGTAGCATTTTTCTCTACATTTACTAGGTTTTCTAGGTATCAAACCAGTTACGTTGCTCTTTATTCAAATGCCAACGTTTGTCTCCCCATGGCAATTTTTTGCTAATGGCAACGTTAAATGCTACCTCAAAGAAATAAAAAGATGCTCTTTTAAACATTGCTAATAAGTTAAATTGATGTGTAGTTTGTTAGCACTGAGAAAGTAACCTGATAGTGTGCTGGAGCTGCCAGTCATCCTGACAGGGACAGAATTCCCTCTGCTCGGATTCCGAGCTGCCATTTTTTGGGTGAATTAACAGTCTCACCGTACTCACACTTCTCTGATTTGGTGACGTTTATGGGCACTAACTCCTAGCGGCTAATTAATTAAACTCAACGTAGTTAACTAAAAGTACACCGGTTGAAATGAAGCCACTGATCCAGCCTGGGTGCGGCCAGCCGGGACCCTGCTGGGAGCAGTCTTTGTTCCACCAGTGACCGGGGAATTAAAAGACACCTTTCACTCGGTTTTGTCTGTGCTCAGCTTCCTACTATATGGGTTCTTGCCAAATCCCCAACGAATAGAATGGGATTTAAATCCTTCCCCTGTTTATAGCCTCCTAAGGGAACTGGGTGGCCTTGAAACAATGTGGCTGAAAGGACACAAAAATGCAGTTTTCCGCAGTAGTACTATAAGGTAACTGTATTTGTTTCAAAACAAAATTGCTCTTTACCAGAAGAAACAAAAATCCTTAATTAAAAAGAAAAAAAAAATTAAAAGGAGCTTTAAATGATAATGAGATAGTATTCTTTTATGTATGTTTTATTTAACTATTTATATTAATCTGTGAAGGATGGCATGCATTCCTAACTGCCTCGCTCATGTCTGTGCTCTCAGATATTGCTGATCATTGGAAGCAATCTTTGCATTTTCTGTATAGTCTGTCGTTAGCTATATACAAACTATATAAATAACATCACCCACTGGAAGGAAATCAGACAAATTAAAACATGTAACATTTCAATTAGCTGCCTGCAATACTTAATTCAGCAGTAGCTGGCAATTTTCCTCACTAAAACCCTGCTGAATAAATGCTGATTTCAATTGCATCCTCCCCCTCCCCTATTTTTTTTTTTTTTTTTTACAGCCAGTTTTATGCTTTTTGCTGGTCCATTCCTCTATTCCATCCCATGCACTGAATTCTGCCTGCCTCCCCTTTGCCTCTCCCTGCTCCCAAGCCCCCTGTCTGCCTCCTGGCAGCTCTGTGCATCCAGTGCAGAGGAAGCAGCACCGAGGTGGCAGCACAGGGCTGGCTCTGAGGACAGAGACAACCTCCTCGGTCAGAGCATCACCGCCATGGCAAAGCCAGTCTCTAGCTTTCTGCCCCATCATCTGTCCCTTTGGGCCAAGATCCATCTGACAGAGCTCACTCCCAAAGAGTTCCCCCCGTGCTGGTTTTGACCTATCTCTAGCGCCCACAAAATGCTCTAGCAGATATTATCAGACTATTTTTAATGGATTGTTGCTCTGCCGGGTTCCTCGGAGTTGACTGCAAGCTGACAAATTGGCTGGAGGCCTTAATTTGCCAGCTTCACTCAGAGATTTTATTACTTTTCAATTAGGAGCCCTGATACACTGTCAATCCTCTTGTTCTGCAAGCAAGGCTCTGAGATTTGAGTAAATCAGCTGGAAATGTGAAGAGTCCTCTAGCCCTTTAGCTGGTGAACTTTCCTGAGCAGATGTGCGAGAAAGCATGTTGGAAATCAATTTTTTTACTCCAAACTAATCAAATTTCTACCACTTTGTGTTCTCTGAGCAATTTCTTGGCAGTTGCTGAGCACTGGCACAGCACTTGACCATCCATGCTCAAGGGCAATTGTACCTGTACTTATCAATTCTACTTGTGCACATTACTGCATTGGGCACCTGCTGGACACCCATTCCCCCAAACCTCCCTAGCTCAGAACAACCACTGCAGAAGGAGGAACTGAGCACGGCACTGTATGAGCTTGCATGACCAAATGCACTTCATGAGTGCATGAGCATGAGTTCTGCTCGGTCGGTGATTCAAAGCATGGTTCTCTGACATGGAAAGGAAGATGAGCAGCTCTCCATGCACCAGCCCAGTGCTGCAGGTCCTGCACCCCAAGTCCCCAGGTACTGGGCTGGGTGTGCACCCACTGCGGGGCTGCAGCAGGTATGGTGGAACAGGAGATGTCTGGAGGATGGTCAGACACACACGGAGTTCATTAAAATGCCACATCTGTACTGCTCTAGAGGTTTAAAAGTCTTAAGAATATCCAGGAGAGGGTTTCAAGGGACAGTCATACTCTAAACTCACCTTCCTTTAATTATTAGGAAATAAATCTGCAATCTGCAATTTTCATTTTGATTTCTCCAGGGGACTCAATTTAAAATGAAATTTAGGAATCAAACTTTACCAAAAGCATTAAATCCCTAGAAAACACAAAAAGACAAGGAGGGATCTAAATATATTGTTCCTCTACTACACAGAGCTGAACTGTCGACATCTGCCTATAAAGTTTTATATATAGTCCACCTTTGTTCAAAATGTCTTGCAGAGTTTAAATGAGATTTTTAACAAAATGGGAATGGCTAATATTTGTACCCAAACTGTACAGCTAATTTGTCAGTACTTTAAATTAATTGTTTCACTCAAATACAGCTGCTTTTTTGACCCTACTCTGTTATTCCAATCAAAAAGAAAGGAGAAACCAAAGAAAGAAAGTTATACGATGCTCCAGTAACTTACAATCTCTTTCCAAGGTGCTGTGCCAAGCTAGCTGGTGCTCCTTTGTTCAGCTCCCAGACAAAATGCTGCTGCAGGCCCACAGAAGTTATCTTACATATTTAGACAAGCTGCACACAAATGCAGCTGAAAGGTTTTCGATGGTGGTCTCAGAAGGGAGGCTGCGAGGAGAGGTAAATTGGCAGCACAGCCTCCACAAACCTTTCTTCTTCCAAACTACAGATCCCAGCTTTTGTGTTACACTTGGGAGCTTACATTATTGTCTCCTCTTAACTACTGCCTTTTTCATTTTGCCCATCTTTATCCAGTTTGCATCTTACACTGAGTCCATTAACTAGCCTTCTGCCAAACACACCCTGTGCAAGTGTTTGAAATCAGAGCCGCCAGGATTTGCCAGCACCGGGAACACAAAGATTTAAACGACAGCAATAATGAAAAACAAAGGACTGTCCCACCATTTTGCCCTGCGAGGGCTCTCTTCCTCTTTATCTAAATGTTGTTTAAAAAGGAAGAGACAAAATAGTCAAATCTCTCACTCCTGGCTTTTTTTTTTATATATATATATGTATTTCACTGCCCTCTGCATTTCTTTGGCTGCAGTGATAATTTTGGCAGATCTTGCTCTGAGAGCAGTGAAGTTAATAATGGGGGACAAGCTCCATAAAAGAATTCTTGTTATAAAAGGCTGCAGGTAGCCATTTTATTGTAAGAATTTTTTACTTGGGATTTCTTTCTTTTCATTAATGAATGACTTCTAGTACCAAAGGCAACTTAAAAATCCAGTAAATTTAAAACACGTTTGTTGGTTAAAAAAAAAAGACAAAAAACAAAAAAAAAACAACAACCAAAGAACTGTAAATTAAAAGGTGACTTTGTATCTTACTCATCTGGAAAATGTGTGCTTGTCATATCTGCTTGACATTACAAGAATGAAGATGTGGTTTGGACAGTAACAAACAATGACACTAGTCAACCTCATCAGGAGACATGAAATAAAGGAATGACAATGATTGATGGCAGCTATTCATTTACAGATACGTCTGGAAAAGTCTTCACTGGCACAGTCGGGCAAGTGGGAGAAGTTCTCTGGGCTCGGGGGCTCAAGAGCAAAGAGGTGCTCCTATGAGCTGCCAGAGCATGGGCTGCAACTTGGGATGGATGCACTGAGTGGAGCAAGGGGTTTCCTTAGCCAATATCGGTGTTCTGGGGGAAAATCCACACGTTGGGCTTAAAAACGCCCGGGTGCTGGTGAGAAGCCAGCTGCTGGCAGCCAGGCCATGACTTACCCATTCCCTCTCAGCAGCATCACAGCACGGCCACTCCCAAAGAGCCCCGCATGCCGCGCTGCGTGCAGCCTCCCTGAGCTCGCCTCCTCCTCTCATCTTATTCTGTCTTAGAAGATAGCTTGGTGTTTAATCGGCTGTTTAGTCTTTTGTTTTATGGCATCTTGCTGCAAACAAATCCTCTCCTGCTTGAGTTACGATTTTAAGAAACAATTAAGAATGTTCCTGTAAATCAGCAGACGCACTGTGCGCTGAATTGAAACCTACGTTACCTGCTGCTAGGTAGTTAAGAGATTGGGAATTTGTACTATGCACTGACATAACTCCTTGTGCACTAAGTTAAAGATCTGTTTTTAGAAGAGCTATTTACAATACAAAACAATGCTTCACAGCGTTTTTATAACTATTTAAAAATATTTTGAATTGGATGACAGCAGAACCCCGTGAATTTATATTTTATCAGTTAGAGCCTCATGCTTCTTAAAGCATGTAAAAGTGATTTACAGGCTATTTTTAAATTCATGCAAGTTACGTGAGAACTGAATTAACATTTTGATTCTGCATTCCTGCAATGAAGCATCTGCAAGTTGACAATACAGAAGACACAGCAGCGTTCTCATGATATCTCTATCTGTCTAACAAAAATAAAGCAATTAAAGCACAAAACTAATAAAATAATCTAATAGGATAGCAATGCATTGTAGTGCAAATACATGTAATGTTGCCAGACCCAAGTTCATTCATTCATTCACTCTTTCTTTCTTTCTTTCAAAGTGGCAAAAATCTGTATTTCCGTCAAATTGAACTTTTAGCAATAAAGTCTGGTAAGAATCCTCTTTGGAAATCCAAACATTTAGAAAAGAAAAAAGAAAGAAAAAAGAAAGTGTCTGCTGAGAAGGAATTCTGCCTGCTACCCAGGGGTATAGTTAACACACACGCACATACTCACACACAGAAAAGAAGAAAAAGAAACAAAAGGAGAAAGGAGAAAAAAAGGAGTCTTGCTGGATGGCCAGGAGGGATGACACCGCCTGTTCCTTCTCATAATTGCATTCAGATACTCCGGATACATATTTGCCAGCTCTCATGACCCACTGATGCTATTCCCTCCTAAGGAAAGCAGGCACTCACCAGGTATTAGAGAAGCAAGCTTTTGGCACCAGTAAAGGATTTGTACAGTGTGTACTTAAGCCTGAACAAAGACTAAGGAGAAGCTCTTTTACAGCACAACTTTGTGCTTTTATCTTTTTCAGAGCAGGTATTAAAGTCGGAAAAGGTAACGACTGAGGACAAATTAACAATTCCCCTGGCTTATCCTTCAGCAATGGTTGGTGGCTGAGACCCCCACTAAATATTTGGTTATGATAATTTAGGGGAAGCAGCAGCCCCTCTGTGTCTGATACATTTAAGTCAGAGCGGGTTGGGGTCCTTGCCAAAATAATCCCCCGTTGTATTGGCATGGAACTACCAAACCTGAAGGATTCGAGTGTGTGGAGGTAGAGGGATGGGTTTTGGCTCCTTGGAGTCCTGCACCTTGTCTAGAGCTCGCCGGGCTCCTGCCCTACCTTGCTAGGCTCTGAGCAGTCCGTGGTTAGCCCCGCGTGCTGGTGCGCTGCACCAAGCTCGGCATCGGAACAGAAAGAAAGGATATTGTCAGAGTGCAAAATGATCTGTTTTCAGGCAGTAAGCAGTCAACTAGATGTAAATTCCATGAAACAAAAGAAGGTATTATTTACAGTTTTATTGTGATGTTAATTAATATTTACATCTTGGAATGAAAAATAGAGATGTTAATGATTGGCTTTACTAAGAGGATCACTTGATGCCAATGTGAAAGCCAGGGAGAGAAGGCAATTATGCAAACATCACATGCATCCTAATTTCAGTATGGAAACTTACATTTCAAACCTAAATTCAGGAAAATAACATGGAAAGTTTGTACTACAAAATCTAAACATGAGAAAGATTTAAGAGAAAAAAAAAGCACATTGCATACGTCAGATAATCTAGTCTGATTATCTGAGCTGTGCTAGCTACAGGGAAGCACTTACCCTTGAGTCCAGCTAGAAGTTAGCAGGGTAAGAAGGAACAAACCAGAATAACATAAAGACTAGCAACAAGGCTCAGGAAAGCAGACAGGAGCCCTAACCTAGCAGCTAAATATTTGGGTTCAAGCAAAGAATGAAAAAGAAACTTAAAAGAAAACCAAACCAACCAAAAAAAAAAAACCAAAACACTTACAGCTGAAAATTTCTTATGAAGCTCAACAAACCTAGCTACGGATCATGGGGGAACAAATCATTACAAATTCTCAAAACAACCAACTCTTTGTATATGGCGTGATTAACAGTCATTAAATAGAAACAGACATTAAAAATGAAATATAAGCACAAGTGATATGTAAGACAATTACTGACCAATCTTTTATGTTGAAAAGAAAAGGGGTCTGAAAAAAAATGAACGCTGAGCATGTTTGGGAATTTTGTTCAATGCATCACTAACACAGAATGAACAAAGATTGGTGCTTTCAGACAAGTGACCACTTTTATGAAGCTTAAATATTACCAAAAGGTATAATATGTATTGGCAGCATTATTGACTATAATACTGTGCATGATTTCAACATTAAACAAGAACAGTTTTGTTTTCTTTCTTTTGTAATGCAACTACTGGAGAAAAGCACAGCTTTGCGGTAATGGATTTTTTCTTTTAAATTATAGCAAAATAAAAAAAAGCAAAACTTTTCACTCTAACGGGCATTGTTTACCCACATAAAAGGGACTGTAGAGTCATACAAAAATTAATGAATAGCAGGATCTATTTTTTTCAGTACTTAAAATGCAAATAAAAGATATTCCACCCTTGTCTGGAGCTGTCTGTTTGCTTCCAAGTCAAGTTCTGCTATCGAATGGTGGATGAGAATTTAAGTAGTGCTCTAAGTTTGTATTTACTCACTTCAGTGAGGTGGGAACCGAATGAATTCACTATTGCTCCCAAGTTTTCCCAACAGCAAAATGTGTTCCTTCCAGGTTTCTGCTTAACAGACAGCTCCGGCACAGGAGCGGAGGGCTGGATTTTCTCTGCATGTGCATGCATGTGCATGTGCCATTTCGGACTGCTAAACATGAACGCTACAACAACAGTTACTCATCAATCTGCTTAACATTTACTTCTTTGCAAATCCTTCATTTACCATAGCCTTAATAAGCACAAAAACATGACAGGTATAAAGATAAACGTACAAGAATAAAATGTCTCGCGAAAGTCCTTACCTTTCTGCAGGCCAAAAAATAAAAAACAGACAAACCAAAACCAACTGATAACAAACCAAGACCCTTTTAAAAATGCAGTACTTGATATGATTGAATTTAAAGACTGAAGGAGCTGAGATATGTATTTGTGCATTTAAGACTCATGTAAGCCATGATATATGGCATGCATGATTCACTTCTGCCTCTCATTATTAAACTGCTGCAACCATTGACTATTCCAACGAGCACTGCTGCATACAAACATTAAAATATGAAAACTGAGCAGATCTTGCACTTAAGATGAAGGGCTTCTACAGCATGCTTCCTTCCTCCCCCTGAAAAACAGAGACCCTATGCACAAAAAGGTTTGAAAGGGTTCAGGTCCAAAGCAGGAGGAGGAAGGAACACTGAGGAGCAAAGGAACAATGTGCTGAGCCCAGAGGATGCTGAAGAAGCAAGTTATCACTGCAGTGAGGAGCTGATCGGTTTCCATGCCTTGGCACAATGCAACACAAGAAAGCATTGGGAGAGCCTCAATGATCTGGGTTCGGTGCTGGTACAAGTGAGAGAAGCTGAGGTCAGATCCTGCAGGTCCTGGGTGAGATCTCCCAGGAACCCAAGCAGGGTTTGGCTTTCCTCACATGTCTGTGAATGGGGACAACATACCCAAAGGCTCATGGCCCTGAGTGTCTCCTCTTTCACCCCAAGAACTTGTGGACTAAACGTTCTGGGTAGAGGTAGATGCAACCCACTTGTAAGAGGTCAACTCCCACCTCCCATCTTGGCGTTCTGAGAGGTTTTCTTCCTTTTCAATCCCAACCCTTCAGACCTTTCGACCCCCAAATCATTTACATGAATGGGCTGAACAGGATGAGGGGCACTGATATGAAAATACTGCCTATGTTTACCAAGCTGCATCATGCCATGTCCTCATTCACAGCAGCAGCAATGAAAGAAGCAGGGAGTCCAAAATATGCAGGCACATGGAGGGGACACACATAAGAAAAGGCAAGCAGTGGTTTTCTGCTGTAAAACGAATCACTGAGATGTATATCTTGCACTATTGTTTTTTATGAATACTGACGTGAGGCTAAAATGATATAAAAGATGCCCAAATTAGTAAGTAAGGGGTAGATTTCTGAGTTGCTTATAATGACATGTTCAAAATCTGAAAAGCCTTACAATTTTAACTGCTAAAATCTGGTGTAATTGGGTGAATTTGCTAATATTTACTACTTTTCCTTATTTTACTTGTACACAGTTTTGCTGAAATGAGCAAGAAGTGCTGCATGTTACACAACAAAGGGATTCGAGACACACTACTGAGAGACCCTCCAGAAAAATGAGTGAGGAGGGATTTGTCTGGTTTATAATCAAATGTAATTTAGAAGACAAAAGAAATTGCTCTAAATTTCAAATTAACTGAATTGGGTATAACAGCACAGGACACACTGCACAGCTACAACTTAAAAGATGATTGCTTTAAATTCACATCTAACTGGCCTGCAAAGCAACCTGTTAAAAATACCATATGTTTTCCTACAGTTGAATATTCAACAGGAGACCTCTTTTTGTGTGCGCATTTCATACTTGCAAGATTTGCACCTGTAGTTCTGAGCACGTGACACATTTGACAGACAGCTAATGGCACTAATGAATTGCTCTGATCTGGGTCTGCAGTTTATTGTGTGGGGGTAAGACGGGTGTGTGCAGAAAGCAAGCTGGGTTGCAGACTCTCAGATCCCAGTCTCTTCTCCATCAAGTACTGCACTTTCAAATACTCATTAATAATTTCTCAAGGAATTTGGTTTCTCGGGCTTGGTTGTGTTAAACAGACAGGTTAAGTGGTTCTGGATCCACTGATGTAAAAAGCAGCTTAATGATAATGAAAAATATTTGTTTTGGAGTCGGAAACATGTGTGTGAATACTGATTTACATCAGTGCAGAAAAATCTTTCCATCAAAGACTTCTGCTGTCTAGGAGAACTTATTTACTTACAAAATTGAGAGATTGGGGCGTCTAGCTGGGGAACGTTTCCTCCTTTAGCATTTAGCTTTTGCACTTGGGTAGGTGGCACAGGTTTGTGAGACTGGCCGGTGGCTCGGTACATGGCTTGGACCCACAGGATGCGGTCCTGCTCATCGTCACTCGCAAAAATCACCGTGTCTCCTTCCTTCACAGCGTTGAAGAATGCTCTGCCACCTTCCAAACCTGCCAGGAGAGAAAGGCAGGCTTTGAAAATGGCAATAGACATCTGAAGAGGCTGATGAGAGGCTCCCGCTGGCCACCCTCAGTCCTGATGCACTGGGTACCCCCAGCAAAGCCAGTGCTCTCCCTGCACAAGAATTGCCTGGTTGGATGCTTGCTTCTATCCCTGCCCTTATTCAGTGCCCATCTTCCCATCTCCCCACCACCAGAATAAGCCTGGAAGCAAGGTCTTGACCACAAACCTACAGTGTCTTTCATCATCTCCTCTGAGAGATATTTAGCCACAGCACGATGAGGGTTAGGCATCTAATTCACTTAGGCTCCCTAGAAAAGACGAGCTTCCCTCTCCTCTTGTGCAACTCCGCTCAACTCCTTCCCATCTATTTATAGTAAAGTCATGCATAGCTAATGATCAGCCTAAACACAAACATATTTACAATGATGCTGATCATAGTTCAGCTGCAAGCAGGGGGAAAGCATCCCAGCCAGGGGTTGTTAGGCATCACAAGCATCCGCAGCAGAGAGAGGCTGATGCCGTACCTGGCTGTGGGTCGGTGTAGTCCACAGTGTATCCGTCGAGCTGCAGCAGCTCTTGAGGCTCAGCTTTTTTCTCCCGGTAGCTGCACATAGCAAATGTATATTGACTAACCTGAAGAAAATCACAAAGTTAAGATGGCATCAGGTGATTCATTCATGGCAAGGAATCCAAATGGTGCATTTATAAACATTGAGAGGGATTGGGGTGTCAGGGGATCATTGCTCATGAGGCTGAGCTTCTAACACACGTTCTCAAAGCACTCTCCTAACATACCCTCATTCTCCACGCCGGTACACACAGTGGTTTGATTTCCTCCCAGTGAGGAAGAACCATGCATTAGAAAGCTCTATCACTCATCCCCAGACAAGTGCAAGAGTGACACCCTGTCACAAACAATGTGAGCTAAATTGCTAGGTGCCAGTCATATTAAAGCAATCTTAAGATCCCACTGATCTCGGCAGTTGTTGTCATCAGTGCTGTAAATGGCAGCTCTCACTCCTCTGAGGTACCATCTGCATGACACGATACATTCAATGTCAAGCTCTTGACGGAAGCCGACTCAGCTGCGGGGCTCTGCCGGGCTCTCCCATCGCCGTTGGGGGGCCATCAGCCTGCATCAAGGCCCCGCGCGTGCTCCCCGCACCACGATGTGGATGGGCAGTGAGAAGCCCGGCCGGAGAGAAGAGGATTCTCTGTGCTCCAGGCTAAGAACTCACGGGGAAATTTACTGTCAAATGATTTCAAATGACTTTGGTAAGGTTGTGTCACATCCTGGATGCTTTACGTAATTTTATTAGTGTGGACGTTTTCTTGACCTCTGGAGGAAACTTTGACTTCTGGGGGATCTTTCAAACTCTGGTGGGTGGCAACAGATCAAGCTCGTCATTTTTGGGAAGTTGGGAGAGATCCTGAAAGATGGGCTCCACGTGAGTGGCTGCACTCTCTGCATCACCCGAGCAGCTGGGGGACTTTGCCTGTTAACTGTTCTGTTACAAATCTACAAACAGCATATATTTCAGTGGCTCCTTTCACTAATAAATGCCATTTATTTAAGTCAGGGGTCCCAGCTGAGCATCCCCAGCCAGCGCTCGGTGTCTTGCTGCCCTCTGCGGGCTCTGCTAGCTGCCAGCCTGCCTGCACCATGCCTTCCTCCAGGAACAGCTCCAGCATCCACCTAAGAATAAACCCTATCATTAACACATTTGTGGGAGGAAGGCTGAAAGTGATGCTTTAAGCATCTTGCAACTTCCTTAAAGCTACCAGCTCCGAGGAAAGATTGACAAGTAACAGACCAATAGCAGGAGCACACCAGTGCATATTATATGCTATGAACTTTGAATGCGTACGGTCGTACCGGCAACACAAAAATTAAAAAGATTAACACGAAGAAATCTAAAAATAACCTGGTGCCCCTTTGCACAATATTCAGACGACTCCTGCAGTGTTCATTCAGTTAGAATAACAGTATATTGCTGCCATCTCCTGGACAAACTCCTGAATGTGCTTTATTCACAGTACAATCACAGGGATTTCATCCGAATGGCAAGGATTTGGTTTCTCTGCCTCGCACAGCCTGAACTTCAGGGACTGTGTGATGACAAATACAATTCCTGAAATGAGTCAGTGCTAATCTACGCTGACACGACTGAAAACATTGAAACAAATCATGCTTTCCTTTTGTCCTGTAGGCTCTAACCAACAGGTAAAACCCATTCAGTAGTTAAGAGTTTCTTCTGTTCTGACACTGAGTTTGAGGTCTGAATGTTAAACTCTTTCTCACATTCAAATAATTCGCTTCATCCATGGCTCCAGCACATACTGTTAATCTCTATCAATAAAGCAACTGTACCAACACAACCACAAAAAATGGAAACATATATAGGCACTTCAAAGCTTGTACTTCTTACATTAAAAGTTACAGAAGAGAGATTATAGAACCATAGAATGGCTTAGGTTGAATGGGACCTTAAATATCATCAGACTCCAACCCATGCTGTCAGCAGGTGTGGACAAAAGATTTGGGAGAAGAGCAATGCAAACTACTCTCTTGTTCGCATCCACACGGTTTCCTTAGAAGCTGCTCTACATCATTATTATAAGAGATCACTTAGAGAAACCTACAGGTCACTCTACAACATGCAACCAGCCAGGACTGCTACTAACCCTGGAAAAGGAGCCGATGGTGTCCTACAGAGTGCCTGCACAAATACAACTCCAGCAGCACCTTGTGTGCAAGATGTGATATGCCAATTTACTGCTTGGGGTCAGAAACAAGCTGTGCCCTGGCTACCAGCAAGATGTGGTTCCTTCCATTTATGAGTAGTGGTAAAGAAAAACCTTACAAAATGAGATTCTAGAAAGCTTGATATGACACTGTCATGTTTCACTGCTGAACAGTGCTGCAGGGTCAAATGGAGACTGCAGTTAGCCTCTCATCAGTCCTCTAGAACACAGAGCCTGCCATCTGCAGAAGCTCCGAAGTGGCCAGACCAGAGAAACAGTTAATAGCAGAAATTAATCTTGCAGCCTGCTGAGTTCACACTGAACCATAGCTGAGTATTAGAGTGAGCGAGCAGATGGGATGGGCGAGATGAATGGTTTGAGTAATTGAAAAAAGCATGGATAGAGAGGAAGCTGAAGGAAGACTGTGGGGAAATCTCTGCCCAGTGAGGGACAAACTCTCAAAGCAACTGGGATTTGATCCAGGGACCAGATGAGGGCCAGGAAAGGAGCAACTAAGGAAGCTGAACTGAGTGAAGCTCAAAGAAGAGAAATAATCCAAGGCTGTTCTGGCTGGTTCCTTATACAAAAGTAAAATGGTTTAGAGAATAATTTGAGACAGAAGAACAGAAGGAACAAAATGGAGAAAAAAAAGAGAAAGGCAAAGAAATTGAGAGAAGAGGAAAGAGACAGCGGGAGACAAATGCCAAAGTTCACTATTCCCAGGCTGCTAAATTAGATCTGACTTTCTTGGCACTTGACCATATTCTGTCACCAGCTATATAATCCGAGTGATTAATAAATATAGTAGGTATGTATTAACCAGTACTGACTTTATCCTTGTTTTTCCACCAAATACTCCTGCTCTAGCCAGCAACGCTCGCCTGAGAATCCAGCTCAAACCTGTTAATTGTTGTCCCTTGCACTCCAAGCACAACACAGCTCAGTCATCCGCTTCCCTCTTTCCCAGTGTTGACATAACACCGCCCCACTTGGGTTAAATTCTTAAACGGACCTTTCCTGGATTAACAGCATGCATTTTATCCCAAGGGAGAGAAACTGTGCTAAGATACTGCCAGTTGTAATACAGCTTTCTACTTTGATGGGAGACTCTTGTCCTCTGGTTGCAGCTGTATGTTGCCTCCCGAGCCCTTTACTGACACAAATGAGCAGAGGAAATGATCTAGCTTAAAGAAACAAATGTGAAAACAACAGTTTTCACATCTCAGCACATCCATTCATCCCTAAACAATTGCACATAGCAGTTGTCCTAGCTTCTCCCTCCAAGCACGTGTGTTTTCTTCGGGCAGGTCTGCCTCATGGGAAGCCGTGCCCACACCACCAGCTCGCCTGTATACAGGCATCCAGGTGCATGCAGACATGCAGCTGCTTAACCAGCAGCTTCCAAACGTTTTGTATCAACCACCAACACTCAAGGGTTTCTCAGCATTAACTGCCTATGCCCAGTTCCCAGTGAGGAACATGATTTAGTATGGTTGCAGGGACCTGCTGCAGGTCATTCTCTTTGATTTGAGGATCACAGGGTAGGACTGCAGTGTAGTACACCGTGAAGTTGTGGAATTATTTCCTAGTTCAGTTGGTTATGCAGATTTACTGAACACTTACTTTGTTTCATTTCAACCCAAGTTAGCTGAGTTTTGCTGAAAGCAGGAGCTGTCACCATTACTCTAAGTTATAATGAGTGTGGGGAGTCTGTCACTAGAACAATAGATCCAGGCGTAGACACTGCAACTGGTTTTAATCTGCAGAGAGTTGATCTGCATCCAACAACATTCTGCAAACACCATGAGACACAATCAGACAAAATCTGCTTCCAGCTACTCAGCAGACATGTCATCCAGGTACCATGGAGTGTTACTTCCCATATGCTGCCAGCGCACAGAAATGGGGTTATGACAAGAGGAAAACAGATTCAGTCTGAAATCTCAATGTAATTAATTCACTTGCCCTTTAGAATCATTAGAGGAGATTTCCTATCACAGAACTGGCAAGCCCACCAAAACCAGCAGCAGTGTTATTGCCAATGGAGCACATTAGGCCACGCAAAGAATTAATGCAAGCTCTGTTAGCTACCCAGCTTTTGCGTGATCAAGGGTCCAATTGACAAACTGGCTGAAATTTGTATGCTGTGCTCAGTTAGCTGATATAGCAACTTATGAAACACAACATCTGTGCTGGATAGACATTTTCTTTCCCAACCAGTCACAGAGAACGTTGCCCTAAATCATCCCATTGCTTTCTCTTACCACTGCCATTGGCATGACTGCTGCCTTTACGAAGCATTTTCCTCACTTGCGATGCTGCGGACCATTTCCATCTAAGCTCAGGGCCATATTCTGCCATCACTTTCACACTGCATATCTCAGGATTTAAAATTAGGCAAGTAACGAGTCTCTGCCATGTAATTTACATCTAATCAGTATTCTGCTCTTCTGCTGCTCATCTCAAAGGGTGTCTACGAGAAGGGTGGGCAGTGTGCGGAGAGGACTGCGATTCATTCGGAAGAGAAAACTCTCCCCTGTGTTACATGGGTGCCTGCAGTAGAAACACACCTGAGCTCCCCAGGCCGCACCACATTGCCCACCCTCACCAAGGGGGGAATGAGGACTGCCCAGCAATGCATGTGCTGAAGGGCTGAGGCCCAGCTACAGAAGCAGCACAAAGGAGCTGCTCTCATCCACTGCACCCAAACAAACCATCTCCTGTACAGCTTCCACAGACACAGAAGGTGCGAGGGATTATTCCGCCCAAATCACAAGAGAGTTACTGCTCCTTTCCCCTTCTTTGCAAGGCTTACAGGAGCCAAGTATCAGTGGGAACACTCCCTATAGAGATCCTTTTTCTCCATACATGTGCAAAGCCTCCGTTCATACTGGTGAAGCATCGCTGACAGGAAAGAGCCAAACTGCCATCAACACCTTCCTCCACAGTGCTGCCTATGCAACTTGGCACCTTTGTGCCTTGTTTAGATGAGGATGAGGAGTCTGAGTATTTATTACCACGAATTTCTTAACCTCTGGTACCAGACACGACTGCAGAGCACTGAAGGAACTGGGGCTGAGCCAGCTGCCTCCATCTGAATCAGGGAAAGAGGGGCAGGAGAGGACGTGGGAGTGGGGGGAAGAGGTAACTCTGCAAGAGAGGGGAGAGGTGTGGCAGAAGATGTTACAGGTAAGGGACAGAGACGAGGGATGAGAATGGAAATATTTATTCATCCACACTTACAGCCCTGACCTGTAGGCAGTGTCACATGCTGACCTCACTGTGATATACCAAAGAGATTTTACGCTTTGGACTCCAGCTCTTGGCATTGGTGCCAACAGGAGCCTGGTGCAGCTGACTGAGCCCCTAAAACACAGCCTAATCCTCGTCCATTCTTCCTGCAGCCAGGCCAGCTCACTGTCCTGCTGAGGCTACTCCCTGTCTGTGCTCAGCATAGTTCAGAGCATTCTGGACATCAACACCTTTACTGCCAATCCCTGCTCGTATCAGCACCCATCCTTTGCATTGCATGAAAAGCAAATGACAAACATACGGACAGCAAAGTATTTTTATTCCATCTTTATTGCCTGCTGACATGTTCAATATGCTCAAACTACATCTGAGGGACTGCATAGAGAGTGTTTCTTGTTTATATTTGATGTACGGCAGAACACTTTACATTGCACCAAATGTTGAGCAAACGGTAACGTAACAGAGGAGCTGCAGCGGCAGCTGGAATTTCTGAGGTGGGCTACAGAGACTCTCTGGGGGCAAAAGTCTGCTCATCTTATTCAAATGAACTGCTTTTCTGGCCAAATTCTACTTGCATATGCCAACTGACGAATACAGACCTAGTAACAGAAGAAAACATGGAATAACTGAGCGCTTCAGTTCCTCTGCAAGCTGAGAAATATATAGCAACTGAAGACGAGAAAAAGAACTGCAACCCCACAGAAAGGCCAGATGAAGGCTCCTAAGAGAAACATGGGGATTAGTGGCCACACCTGCAGAGCCTCACACACAGAAGTACTGATAAACTTTGATATGGGAGAAGCTATTTTAGGAAAGAGGAATAGTCCTGCTATACAGGGATGCTCTCTGAAAAAAGATCCTGTCTTGGAGAACTCCTGCTCACAAGGAAAATGCTCCTCAGAATTCTGCAGAAATGAGCTGCCTCTCAAGGACAAGCTGCTTTACAGGTGATCACACGTTGCCACAGCACTTTTAATTTCAGCGCAGAACACAGACAAGAAAATGCACAGAGAAAAGCAATCCCTGAACTCTTGCATAAAAAAAGGCTCACTGTGCAGCATTCCTCAAAGGTTTTTCCTTAATCATGGCCTCTTCTACCTCTTTGGGACCCCCATCCAGTTGTGCGATCCCCTTCCACCTGCTGGTCCCTGCATGAAGGGTGTATTTGCAAATGAGATGCTGCTGAGAATGGTTAACAAATGCCCTAAACTCATCATTTTTAAGCTAAATCTAAATATGCTGGTTGGACAGATACAGGCAACCATCTAATTTTTTTATTTCACATAGTTGGAGACAGCACAGCCTGGGGAATGCAGGCAGGAGAGATGGATCCCAGTGTGCTCTGTGGCAGTGTTGATCAGGCTAGGGTGAAGATGCAGCCACCCAAACCAGGGCCCCACACCTCTCTGGGTTCAGTGCTTTCAGCTGCCATTAGGAAGGTAAGGGAAGATCTAACATGTCAAGTACTGACCAGATCTTCTTAGCTCATGTAAGGCACCTTCTGTATTTACTTGAAATTATTAACCAATAATATACAGGTCTACTGAAACTGGGAGGGCAGAAAGTAGAAAAGAAAAGGAAAGAAGAATGAGAATGAGCAATGATTTTGAAGATTAGATAAGCATCAGGACTGAAATACTGACTCTGATGCAGCCAATGATGAAACTTCTGTAGATTTCAAGAGCCTTGAAACTTGACCTGGAGGCTGAAAAGGGAGCACTTGCACTCAAGTACCTCCAGCCAACACTGAGCTTCCTTCCCATCTCACTAAATTTGTCCCTAAAACTGTTACTCCATTTCATCAAGCATTCAGTTGCATCACAGCACTCCTAGCTAGTGATTTGCAACAGGGTTGTCCTTGAGACGATGTCCGCAATTGAAAAAAAAAAAAAGACCCAGGACTTAACAAAGAACCTATGCAGAACCACAGTTTTGCAGCAGCTACACAGCACTGTAAAAGATCAGATCAAATACTTCATGTTGTAATTTAAAGTCACTTATAGGTAAATCTGTTACCTGCACCAGAACAAAGAATCGTTTCTTCCATCTCTTCCAAACATTTTTACCAATGGCCCATAAATATCTAGGAGAAAAGAATAAGTGAATTCAGTACACAAATGACAAGCTGTTGTTTACAGTATCTTTTCTTCACAGCTAGAAACCAAAGTTAATGCAGAAGAAGGAGTAATTACAAGACTCTCAAGTTTGGCAGCATTACTGAATGTGATTATTTCTAGCCTGAACGAATAACCTGTAAAGAAAGAGACACAAAAAGCTCCCAGAGTCTCGATGTTACACAGTATTATTCCTTTCTTCCTTTTTGTTTTTTACAGCTTGCTCAGAATCCAGAAGCCCTTTAATGCCAGTGAATAGCTGCTATGTGGTCAGATGGGTGAATACATTTGAAATGGCAGAATTAAGAGAAAGAAACCCTAAGTGTTGCTTTAAGCCTTCACAAAACCATTTGGCTGAGGGGAAGTGTCAACGAGAGGGCACCTTACTGCATCAAAGGCAGCGCTGGGGACCCCACCATACACAGGACTGACTAAACCAGGTCACTTTGCTGTACAGCTGAAGATGAATTCCTTGAAACTGCTTGGCTATGAGCAAACTGAATAATTTCTAAGAAGGAGTGAATTTACTGCATTCCACAAAGGAAGAATTAACTTTTAAAATTAATGTCAAAATTAGCATTTAATCTCTGTGATGAAGCAGCTGCTGTGACACTGTAATACAAACACTGGCAAAAATAGCAGCAGCACCAGACTAGGAGTAATTACAAAGACATTGTTCAGCACTAATATGTTTTACGTATCATTATAATTACTTTGGTTTTGGCTCTATAAATAGAAAACAATTCCTTTTTGGTTATGCTGGTGGCTTTCTATACTAGAAGAGATACAAAGTATGTACATGGCAAATGTTTAAGCCATAAAATTCCAAGTATTGTGTTAATGTGGGCACTGAGTAGGCTTTGAGTTCAAGAACAGGGAGATAATTGCAGAAAGACAATCTCAGTAATGATAGCAAGCTAATATTACAAATCACATAGTTTCCAGCACCATCTTGTATATTAAATGCTAGTTGTAAAGAGCATGAGAAAAGCCAGGACTGCTCAGCCCTGTTGCCATCAGACCTGATCAAGGAAACAAGCATGACAAGAAAACTGTTCTTTTTTTGCTTTGGTGCTGTGTTCACAGTGGAAAAATTAAACTTCACATCTGGTTATTGGCTCTGATCTCATTAACAGAGAAGACAGGAGGATGAAGAAAAGAAATTAAAAGAAAGATGCATGATTTAATCCATCTAATGGATTGAACCTAACAAAACATTAAGAAAACAGAAATGAAGCAAAGTTACTTTTATAGTCCAAAACTGATACTGGATAAAGAGTTAATCAAAGCAGTGATTTTGCTAGATAATTTCTACTTTTTATCACATCCTCAGCTCTGAAGAGCAAAGAGAGGAAAGCCTTGACAATGACATTAGCTAGATCTTCCCAAAGATGATCTAATTTGTAATTGTATTACTAGTGAAAAGAATGTCTCAGTGTTTGCTTCTGGGCACTAGGAAAAGATAGGAATGATTCCCTTTTGGCCAGCTCAGGTCAGGTTAGAGTGCACAGGAATTCCATAATCTTGAACTAAAAAAATTCCTACAGCGTCAGAACCTCTTCTGTCCCTGTATGGAATGTGTGGAAGCCTGAGGAGGAAGATGGGGATCTCCTTGGCCCCAAATCCTTTGATACCGATGCACAGAGGGGAGAGATTCCCCTTTTAACACCCCACTTTGTTAGTCCTACTTACATTCTCTTGCCTCCCCCCAGGCAACTGCTGTTTAGTTGTACTGTGCATCTCTGTACAAATAATGATGATCACATTGGAGTTTATTTCAAGTGGAAGGCGCACTGTTTTTTAGGTTGTGAGAAGTCAACACGGGGAAACACAGAATAACTTAGGAAATTTTTACAACCTACCAGTAAGAGAGTTAGGCAGTTCACTTCTTATTTCCTTAAAGGAAGGAAGCAATCTACCAATTTCCCAAGGAATACCGTTTAAAATTTAAATTGTTTGGCTGACACGTATTAAGAATGCGTACCTATGCTAGGAATATGGAAAGTGCCTTACAAATGACCAAACTAATGCCATTTCTGTACTTACATTTCTTTTGATCTTCTGTGAACCTGAGAAAAAGATTCACTTTCAGAATCTTAAGAAAGAGACATTTTCTAATGCTCATGCAAAACAAATGGAGTTCAGATAAGGACACTTACCCAGAGTGCTTCATGTTTTGGGGCTTATCCATTCGTACAGCAAGCTTGATCTTCAGGTCTTGATCTGGGCAATTTTTGGAAACTGTCATTTTGTGCCACTCTGACTGCTTTGGGCTGTTGGGAGTGGGATGGAGAACAACCTGCAAGCATCAAAAGCAAAAACATTAAAAGTGTTCTCAACGTGAGTTTTACAACAGCACAGCAGAAGAGCTCTGAAAGTCAGCCTGGAAATTTCTATTCCCATCACTGAGACTAACTTCTCTTTGTTTTAAAATGCAGCTTATTATTTTGAGGTTAGTTAATATATTCTCTGAGTCCTCAATGTGCCCTTGTTTATAGGGTTGGGCAGAACAGAACTGCATTTATTGGTTCCCATCTTGCAGTTGTTTAAGGAAAGTGGACAGTAAACAAGCTTGCAGCTATCCAGGCAAATCAGTCTAGAAGTGATGATGGACTGATGTGATCAGCAAACCACCAATAAGTTTCTGCTGACATTGCCTGCTGCTGACCTCCACTTTCAAAGCCATACAACTTTGCCAGCCTCTAACCTTCCTGTTTCCATGTGAGGTCCACCACAGAACATGATACCTAAAATGGCTTATCAATCACTACCATCAAACTGATGAAGTTGCTCTGTTATTCTGCTTACTGGCAAGACTATCTGCAGTAGACAACCTTGTAGATAGCTCAGTGTGTCTCACTGTGCTACAACAACAGATCAAATGTGCAGCACATATCATGACAGGAGTGGCTGCGGCACTTTCTGCTTTCATTTCATGCAGAGAGGAAATGATGGGGCAATCTCCAGCTGGGTCAAATCAGTGCAACACCAGAGATTTCAGTGGAGCTGTGCAGATGAATACCAGTGGCAGTGCTCGGCTAATCAAAGAAACTGGAAGGTTCCAAGTAATCCCTTCTGATCATAGCTGTGCTTTTCCACTCATTCATCATCCCATGAAGCACAGCATCTCACTCTGTCAGCAAGCCACAGAATATTCTTCAAGAATTACACAGCAGTCACAGTTTTCTCCTCATACTTCCATGTGTCCTCTAAAGTGGCTTAACCCTGTGACTGTAAAATGTCTATCTGCAAAGTGAATGGAAGCACAGCAGAGCTATAGCAGTCTTCACATCAGAATGCACATCTGATGTTCTCTGCCTCCTACGCCCCTTCCTCTTCCAACAATTTCTCTCTCAAAGGTGACTTTGCTGGATGCAAATTCATTACAGTCTCCAGTATACTGCAGTGAGATGAATCTCCTCTAAATCCATTAACATTTATGCAAGCACACTCCTTTACAAACGGCAGCATTCACCCTCGTTATTTGCTGTGCTTCCATCACTCATTACTCACTCACGCTTTGTCCGGGTTCCTGCCACACTCCAGACAAACATATTCCAGAGATACTCACCTGTACTGCTGAGCCAACAGAGTAGGCTTTTTCCTCCCACTAAAATACACCTGATGCTATTAGCCTCTGATAATTGAGTTTAAAAATTATTTGTCTCTTCCAAAGCCTAAGGTTAACATCAGTAGATTCTGAAGTTCACTCTTTTTCATAAACATTATTTCACACCTCCCTTACTGAATTACATTCATGCTTTCTCTGGCAAGAATCCATTATTAGTCACCTAGATTAACTGAGCAACATCAGTTTCTAATTTACCCCTCTTGGAAAAAATAATTGTACTTCAGTAAAACCTGAAGAAAAGCAGTGAGCCCTGCACATGGGTGTTGTTAGAAACATGGATGGACCCAAGCTCTGAGCACGACCCAATACCAAGGCCTTGCATTAAACTGCACATCCCCACAAGGCAGGAGCCACTCAGGGTGTTTGGGATACTCTCTGCTTTGATTTCTAACTTTTTTTCATCAAAAGGAGCATAAACTTTGTGCAGTGTTGTTGCAATTCATGGCTCTTCCCTCCCTCTCAGTGCATGAAGCCTTGGCTGAGGTCCGCAGGCACTTTGCCACTGGCTTCAATAGGGCCAGGATGGATTCCCATGGCTTCAGCTGCCCATCCAGCAGCTCGGGGCTTGGGAGCTCTTTCCAGCTCTCCCTCCGACACAAGCAGTGCAGTGAGGAGTGCCGGCTGGCTGCCAGCTCAACGCTTGCAATAGAAAGTGAGCATTGTGCCGGCCTGGCAGAGCACAAAGCCTCTTCTCAAAGGGCGGCTAAGCATGGGTGTTTTTGTGTATAAAACTGCTCCACGGAGACTTTGCTTCCCTTCTCTCTTCGTAGACAGGTTCATGCCCATTCAAACAGCTAAATCAGGGGCTTAGCACGCTCCCGGTTTCTTTATTTTGTTAAAAAGAAATCCTGACGTGGCCCGATCGGACACGCGTCATCTCGGCCGCTGCAGGCACCCGCGCGTCCCTTTGAAGTTCAGCCTGCTCAAAGCACCGGTGGCCGCCGGCCAGAGGAAATCGCCCCGTGCCCACTGCTGCTGGCCCACATTCTTGGGATTTCAGGAGCTCACTGGGGGCAATGGCTTCCCGCCGGATCAGGATTCACGTGTGTTGGCACGGCCAGTTCTTCCGTACCTCGGGGCAACAGGGCCGTGCTGGGGCCTGACATAATTCTCACAACAAGGCACAGGGCTAATTGCTTCCCGAGAGCAGCAAAGTCAGCGCTGCTCATGGCTGCCAGTGGAAACAAGGCCTACAAAGCAAGCGGGTCTGCAGCGAGCGTAACCACTCTGGGGAAAAAAAGCTCTCAGTGGCATTGCGGATAGCTGGGTGAAAAGCTCTGCTCAGCAGGCGGCAGCGGATAAAGGGAGAGACTAAGTGAAGTACCAGGCTGTTGGAACAATGTGGTTTAGAAAATAATCCTGGAAATGTTATGATGCTGTGCCTCAAAGAAAGTGCGGGTCTTCAGCTGGAGTGCTGCAGCCTGCTGGGGTCACCCTTCTGAAGGGAAGGGAAGGGAAGGAACAGTGAGAAAAAAGGATTGAGTTGTGGATGAGGGAAGTCTGGAGAGGACATGATTGTCCTTGCAGAGAAAAATGAGATAAGGAAAGCAGGAGTAACTCTGCTTTTTTTCTCTCTCGAGAAAGAACAAAGGGCGTTACGAGAATGTGAAAAGACAAATGGTCAAAATGAACACAAATTATACAAGACGAAATCATCTGTGGTGCTCTCTGCTGTAAAGATATAAATTAGAGCAACAACTCACTGAGACCTGAAAGAACCTTTGGCATTTGCATGAACAGCATGAGTGAAAAATCTTGTTAGTGCTTCAAAGTCACAATGTGGCTGTGGAGCATCCTTGGTGATGCCAGCCCTGGGGAATCCATATCAGGCTTGGTGAGGTTCCTACCATACGTGACTTCAAGGTCAGACCATGGGTTCCTTCACAGCTTCCAGCTTTTCATATCCAGGTTGTGGGATGACTCTGGACCGGGATTTTCTCTCTAGGTAGGATTAAAAGGCTGCACTCTGTGTGTGTAGTATAGGCTCTTCAAGGTTGCTTTTTTCTCCCTGACTTTGAGTGCAGCTAAGGAACAAGGGACACCAGCCCATGTCACCAAGGAGGCCTCTCTTGCCGAGGGAGCTGAGGAAGGGGGTGGCAGAGTTTGCTTAGGCATGGGTCCGTGACAAGTGAACAGCTGCAAGATGCAAAATATCCATGGAAACTAAGTGAAGTGTCTTAAAACCCCAGAGAAGTACTGTCCACAGATACAGTGGGCTGTGGTGCTGGAGGGACATCAGTCCCAGAGCTCTGGCGTAGGGACCGCAGGTGAGAGGCAGGGATGGGGTGAGAAAGGCGGGTTTGATGTCCTGATGGCTGGTGCCAGAGCAGTGCAAGCTACTTGCTATTAACGCCACTGACAGGGGCAGTGGACTCTCACTTCCACTCCTTAACCCAACCCCACTGAAGCCAGTGGCTGAGCCACAGTCCCTGGGGAGCCAGGATTTCAAGCATTTTGCTGTAAGTACTGCCATCAGTGCTTTCAGATGCTCAAGCTGTGCACTGGCTGTTCAGTAGATATGAGAGTAGCTTAACACACTCCTGCCAAACTTAAATCCTCTCTTTTTGCTACAGCATAATCCCCTTTTCTGCCTCAGGAATGTCCATTTCCGTAAGCAACTTCTAAAGCTTTCCGGACTGCCAATATCACACACAAGATCCTTCGCTTTTGCTCAGTGCAGGCACAGCCAGCTGAAATGCTGCCATTAAAAACTAACAACAAAGACAGCATGCGAGGTGCATTACTTTCCAGCAGTGGAGAGCTTGCTTTCTTTCCCTCCTGAAGCCTGGCAAAGAAGCAGAGCATGTTGTCCTCCAAAGATATTTCTGTATGGGAGAGATTTCTCTAGAAAAGCAGGCCCAGAAGGAAAAATTGTTAAACTCAAAATGTCCTTACCCTCCCAAGCTCTTTGTCCTCCAGGGCCAGCACACCTGTACTCTCTGTGAACAGCTTCACCTTCACTGCAGGAAGCGCGTGGGTTGTCGTGAAGTCTCCTTGGGTGCCCCAGCTGCAAAAACAGAGACATACTCAGCTCTACTCACAGGCCAGTAGCACTGCTGCTTGGGTGGGCAATGGTTAACCACAAACGTCGTGCCTGGCACAAGCTGAAGTTGTTGGGCTGACTGAGTGACAAGGGTATTAATTATCTTCTTAGGGAACTGAAGGGACAGATGTTTGGAAAAACCATGATGGTTCTTTTGGGAGAAAAGATGGTATTTGGAAGCAGCATGAAATCAAAATTAAGAGAACTGATTTAGAAAGAAAGAACAATATGTCTCTGGCAGTGACAGCCTGTATAGTTACAATAGAATCTGAGAATGGAGAACACCTGCACCTAGGACATCTGTAATCACTCATGCCTCTGCTCTTCTCTTGGCTAATTAACCTCTAATTTCCAGGTTTACAGTCAAGTTTTCTTTTTCTGAAGTGTCACATTTAACCTGTGTCCTCTTCTGAGGTCAACCCAGCCCTCTAACCCAGATTTAGGCTCAAGCCACAATGCACAGAGTAAACCCAGCTAGATGGAACTGCAGAGCAGGACACCAGCTGCATGGGGAGGGGATGGCAAGGGCCAGGAAACAGACACCTTTCAAGCACACAATAAGCCCTCTATCCACTATCTATTATTTGTACTCCAAGAGTTCTCTTCCTGGCAGGTATTGAGGCTTAGAAAGCACAGCTAGGGAAGCTGAATGAACCACAGGATAGTGCACAATAGTGCATCGTAACACCCTTTCCTGAAAAGTCTGGTTCAGTTAAGGCTGTTAGCCTTAAGCTGCAGTGTGGTAGGAAAATATGTGCAACTAACAGTTCCTTGGGGAGTACAATACCATGAGCTCCAGGCACAGAGTTGGACCCACAGCCTGCTGACATGAATTGCCAAAGTTACAATTTTGAGCCTTGCAATGGGAACTCTCCCTGCAGCTAACCTTCCTTGTGCAAGTCTATGGAGGCTTGCTAGGGATATAAGGGCTTGCAGCCCCACAGGGGAAGATTTAGTGATAGGCATGAGGAAGTCTTCCAATCAGCCACATAAGAGGTTTCCTCTGAACCAGGACATCACAGAACACATGGAAACCAGCTCATTGCATTTTGCTACAGACACTTTCCCCCTGTTCTTACCCCAGCTGAGACAGGAGTGCACAGCCATTTGGGCCAGTACAGAGAAAGCTGACTGGCTTGTCCTTGTCCTGCTGCAGAGATTCGGGAAAGCAGTGCCTCAAATCCCCAGTGAGCAGCTTGCTGCAGCTGGAGTTGCTGCCTGGTGAGCCAGGAGGGCCCATCTGCACTCCAGTGATGAGCATCCTCACGGGATGCAGGAGGTGGCAGCAGCTGCACACTGGTACATTACAGAGCCACGTGCTCCCTCGGGTACCACTCCATCTTCCCTGCTGCACTCACCACCCTGTGCTCATTGCTCACACCCCAGCATAGCCAGCACTTGCTACAAACAGAGGCAACACTTGTGCCAGGGCAATCACCTGGACAGTATCTCAGCCCTGGACCAGGAGATGCTGCTGTGCTGGAAAATTAGAGCACAGGGCTCTCTCTGTGCTCGTAACCACAGTGTGTGGCAGGGAAAGGTCATCTCTTTCCACCCTGCCTGGATTAGCAGCTTTCCTGCTATGTTTTCTAAATGGATCCCTCTAGTTCACTTACTCTCTTTCTTCAGCTAATCAGTGGTGACAACCTGCTGGTCTCTAGGGAGCACTGCCAAACCCTGGGACTCACTGCTAATCCTTGTTGCAACTTCTGGAGGTCTCATGTGCCCAGCAGACCCCTCCAAAGTTGCAGAACCTATTCATGAACTTCAGAGGCCTCTTCTCAAGAATCAATACATTAATTTCATCTTGGGTTGCTTCTACTCATTACCACCCCCAGCTGAGCTCTATTTCAGTTACAGGAAGACTACTCTTTTAAAGTTACCCAGAACTCACGCAACAGTCAGTTTGATTCAGAAAGAACACAGGTAAAGGAGATCTGTGAAACGCCAAGTCTGCTCAACATCCAAAAGGCCAAAGCTTTTCCAACAGGCTCAGCAGTGGTACCATTCACACCAACACCTCAAATCATTCACCTGCATAGGGTTTTTCTAATTCAGGAAATGTCTCCCTCTGGCAAACAAGAACAGACTGAACAGCATCTTGGAACAAAAATTAAGTGAAACTTGAACTAATGTGTTTTTGGAAGCTTTAAACAAGTTTAAAAGTAGCAGAGAAAGGAAAAAAATATGCCTTCTACAGAGCTAAGAAACCATGGTGCTTTTATGTTTGAGAGCTTGCAGACACGTTTCAAGATTTCTACATCTTACAGAGTTAGGAAGTTATTAGAAAAAAGCAGGACACAAACTTCCAGGCAGGGCTAAGCAAAGCACTCCTGACTCAGCACTTGCCCTTGTTAGAAGGGAACAGCTCAGCTGAAGACAAAGGGCATAGGGATGGCTGGGAGGATGGCTCTGCTGCAAAGAGGATGCTCCTCAACACCTGGCCATGCCGAAGCCTAACATGAAGCCAACAGATAAGAGCTACTGTCTCTGTTCTTTTAATTCATCATGAGCTAGATTTCCACGTTGTTCCCAGAGACCTTGAATATTCATTGCACTTCAAAACTCATGCTAGGTGTACAAGCAAGCTTGAAGGTGAATCACAGAGGTGTTTTTTACAGACCAAAAGAAACAAACAATATGCCATGAGCAACAAACACATCAGAGCGATGTGACGGAATACACGATGCAATCTAAAGCAGTGCAAGTCGGATGAGAGCTATAGCATCTCACTACCCACTCCTATTCATCCTCATCCTATTTATGACTTTTGCATTTCCTACCGTCCTCAAACTAGGTCCTCTGCTGAAGAAGGGCAGTTCCCTTGAAATGGCAGGAAAAGCACTAAGATTACATGTTCTTCAGACAGAAATACCAAACAGCAGCTTCTGTATTTTAGAAATGATTGGGAAAAATAATTGTTTTCTTATGTGCACAAGGACTATGGTTTAATGCTTTGCTCTCCAAGCCTATCTAGTCCAACTGAGTTCAGCAGATGTACATGTTCAGTGCAGAGCTGATTAACAAATTTGGTTCCCTCATCAGCTTTGCTCTGATGTTTTCTTTTCCAGTGTCCTGTTCTATGTTTCATCTTATAGGAGGATGCATCAAAGTGCCATGGAGCATGGGTTTGACAGAAATTATCTACAGCACTGCAGTACCAGTCAGATGCCAATATTACATTTCATTCATATGTGATGCATGAGCTTCCTAATGTATGTTTGAAACATGAGAATCAAGAAACAGCCTAATTTTCTAATTGTAGATCATGATTTCTCTCTTAAAAAGAATCGCACTGTCACTAGCAAGGAAAAATTGGGAAGATAATCGTGATCTGGATAAGAGGAGAAAATAATAAAATATCCAACCTTACGCTGTGTTATTTTGACAGCAGCTGCTTTATAGAACTCATATCTCTGTTTACTATTAAAAAGCTCTTATTTGCTGAAGCACTCCCAGACCATATGCTATCAACAAATGTTACTAACCAAATACAAACAGTAATTTTCATTAGGTTTCCTTCACGAGAACAACATTAACCACAAAGGGAATAAATCTTTCCAATGACAGTAAATACACATAGCAACCCTTGACAACTCTGTGGAGTTTACATATTTATACCCCTAATTGCCATGAAAAGACTCACGCCAGCAAACAGAGACCCTCAGAAGTTGGGTTTTGTGCAGGTTGAAGCCCGCAGTGATGTCATTAGTTGCCATAGTGATGCTCAGCATAAGGCCATAATTCATATCGTTGAAATACGATTTGTATTCAACCTAAGTACGCAGTTTATCTGTGCTGTGTATTAAGTTATTGTACACAAAATTAGTTCTGGACAATAGTTAGGTATTAGGATACTTCTGAGGGAATAATGATGTAGTGCTTTCATTTTTATATGTTATACTTAAGCAAGTTATTACTGCTGAAATCGATTTGTTAGGAAAGTGCCTTTGGACCCATTCTGGGCAAATTCTATCAAGAAATAGCCACCATCTCTTCCTCATGTCAGAATCCATGCTTATATTTGAAAGCAATAATACATCAGCAAAGCAAAAGGACACGAGCAGTATACAAAAAGTATGCAAGCATCAAAATCCTGACAATGCCTTCTCAGGTAGGACCATATTAATCGCCTGAATCCCACCTGAACCCTTCAGCCCACCATGTCTTACTGTCTAACATATCCCAAAACCTGAAGTTAGCCAGGAATTAATGCCATGTATAAGGACTGTGCTAGATTTATAGTCCCATTTGTGCCATCTGTGGTATTCCAGCGATATCATTTGGACCTACTTGCGTCTCCAGGGCTTCCAGTTAGGCATCAAACTTGGTATGAGTAGCTAAACTCTCATGGCTGCAAAAAATCAGAGGGTGAGATCTGCTCCAGCTGCTAACCTGACAACCTGTTTTACCTTCCATGAGCTTAACTTGCTTTACTTTTTACAAGCAAAATAAGCAGATCATCACTGTAGGCTACATGGAAGCTTTAGGAAAATATTTCCCTAAAGGTACTATCAACATTATTAACAAGACTGCCTAGAAGATCGAGAGTATTTTTGTGAATGAAACAAATAATGTATATCCAGAAGGTTAAGTACTACTCTGAAGCCATAAAGCTAAAATCATTCAAAGACCACGATGCTGCTAATTGCACACTGCTCAGTATGTATGAGAAAACTATTTGGGATATAAATATAAGGCTTCTGGGGTCTTGTCCCTGCTGTCTTGCATAGTAGACCAGGCAGCAGATCTCTGAGTCTCGTTTCTCTTCACAACAGCCCACTTACATGAGTTAAGAATTTTCTCAGCTGTCCTTGAGAGACATTGATTTCATCATTTCTATTCACCTCTAGTGCCTACGTGCCTCTAAGGGAAACTTTCATACCAATGACCTTACAAGCACTGAACTTACATATTAATAACCAGGGGAATGAATTAAATCCTATCATTCATATCCTGTTGTC